GCTGTTAGGGGCAGTCTGCAAATCAGATGATTTGATCACATAATCTTCTTTTGATAATAAGGAGGGTATTATAAAAAAGGTCTCCACTTCAACATCTTTCTCTTGTGAGTGTGCCAGAGCTGGACGACAGGAGATAATTCAGATTGCGTCTCAAAAATGTTCAGAAAGGCAGTATCAGAAATGTAGCTTAAAAATGCTCCTTTGAGCTGCTCTACAGTTGGAAAATAGAGACAGTCCACCTTTTTTCTCATCAATAAAATAGAGGGGAAGAACACTGATAACTTTTCTCTCCTTTCTTCTCCAAGACAAGACCTACCTTGTCTTGAAAAAAAATTAGCTGAAAGATTTTAAGACTAAGATCTTACAGCATTGGAGCAGTTAAATGAATACATGCAAATGTACTTTTAAAGATCTATAAGAAGTGGAAGTAAAGGAATATATTGCAATGTATCTCAGCCTTTATTCTAAAAACAAAGCTTGAGGTTTCCTCATGTATTATGTAACAGTGTTGCTGTTCTCTTGCAATTTGGGCTGTATGCATTAATTTCAACACTGCATCTTGGTCTTTCCAACTTTAAAAAATAAAACAAACTTACATCTATGGTATTTTCCAACAGATTGGAAATACACCTTTCCAGTAGGTAGAATATGCTGCAAAAACTCTGGTATTCATATCTTATCTTAAAAATCTGCATAATAAAACTTGTGGCTATTACAAGTATTGATTTTGTGGCCATGGTACCCACTCAGACACTTTGTTTTCTTCTTCTCTTTTCTTGACTGTGAACCTGGAAATTATCAGGAAGTTATTGCTAGTGAAATGTTATTATCTGTGGATACAAAAAGAAATGATTTTGGGGTTTGCCTAGCATAAATTAGTAGAGATGTTATTACAGAGAAATACTTCAGTCAGTAAGTGAGAATGGACTTTTAATCCCCAGTAGCAACATAGTTAGATCTCGTTAATAACTTGCAGTGGAGCATCTTCTCCTCAGCACCCAACACAACAGATTTGCTGACCCCAAGTATGAAGAGTAGTTATAAAAATGAAATTAATTACCAATATCTGGAAAAAAATTTTCCTAGCAGACGCTTTTTCTGTTTTAAAATATGTTTTTCAACTCCCCATCACTATTGTTACATTTCTCTTCACTCTCATGCTGAATTTCATACAAAATAGTTGTCCTCCTATGTATTATATTGACCCTTAAGACACGATTCTTGAAATGGTAACTTACATGAAAGTTTTTGTTGTGCTGTGCCTTTGTTGTTGTTAATTCTACTTTGATTTTGGTAAGGATGCCTGTTGATGAGGACCATTACTGTGTGGTTTTGATAGTAACCATGGAAACGATGGTTTTTATTATGTTTTTTAGAAAACATTACTCGCTGTGACTTAACCATAAATAGGAAAGTATCCCAAAAGGCTCTGAGATGCTGCAGTAGAGGGGTTAAATGACTTTTCCAAAGGGATTTAGGTATCCCAGTGGTGGCAGATAGCCATGAGAAAAGGCCAAGTATTTATAAATGTGTAGAATTGCTTCTTTTATAACAAAGGGAATCAGGAGGGTAGAGGAAGAAGGCCTGGAAGCTGCACAGGTAGCACACTTGCTCTGGTGCATGATGGACACATTTCAATATATGGTGGTGACCGAGCCTTTACAAGTCCTTTACAACTATGCAGTCTTTACCTTCACCTATTAACTATAATCACTGGATTGACAGGACTTACTGATTACTTTCTGTATGTTGATTCACAGACATTTAATGTAGATAATGTAGATAATGTAGATACACATAGGGCTGTTTGCTTGCCCTTATTAACAGTAGAAACAATGGTCTGCGAAGGGATTTACTTACGGGGTTGGGCCATGGCAATGGGCCCTTTAAATAGCTGTGTGACTTTTGTCTGTCTATCTGGATTTGATTAAGCACTTTTTTACTCATCAGCAACAAAGTAAATAGGTTTATTGCACTTGAAGAGGCTTCTCAAGTGACAGATTATTGAACTTTCTCAAACTATTCTGAGTGGAATGAAAAATACCATTAAAGGGACAGGGCTTTTCATTGTTCTGGACATTCCTCTTTTAACAACTTTGGCAGCATTAAGGAGCTTTAAAGTGGGAATAAATTATATTGGTATGTTTTAGTTTAAACATGAGTTTAAATGTGATTTTAAGCCAACTTTAAGGCCAGCTCTGTGTAAAGGAGGCCTTAATGGATTTGGGAATGATGCCCAGAGCAAACACAGTGCCCATTTGGCAGAGATTAGCAGTGAGTTAACAGTTTAGTGTTCTACATAAAGGATAACTAATTACTAAGATACTTAAACTTATCTTCAAATATAGCACTAGCAGTGGCAATTCTTGGCTTTTCCCAACAAAGCCTTTGTTTTGATTGGAGTGAATAGAAAGCCAGCCAACCCCCACCCCGTTTTTGGTTTTTTTTTTTGAGACATTTGACACTGTAAAGAAAACAATACATTGGAAAATATATAGAACCAGGAGAAAGCAGATGCACCACTTGGAGGAGACGGGAGGAATTCTCAGTCCATTCCTCAGATATGCATGTGTAGGTGTCCACTTTAAGTGTTGCTATTAACTTCAGTGTCCTGGCTTAGGACAGTCAATCTGAAAGAAATATGGTTATTTCTAAAGAGTGATTAGCTGCTGCTGACAGCCCTGGGTACACAGATCCAACCAGCGAGGCTGTTAGGATATTATAAAAAAAGTCTCCACTTCCAACTCTTTCTTTTATATATAGAATATACAGTTGTTGTGGGAGGAGGCTAAAGCACTGCACGCTTCACTTGTAAGAGGAAGGCAGAAATTTACCTATTGGTATAAATAGATACAAGATGGTAATTTGAACAATGACTTCACAAGATTTGAAATGGCTAGTTATCCTTGACTATTTGCTACACAAAAGGTGGAGGGTGAAAAATGAATCTAAGCTCAAATCTTAGCAAAACTAGAGTAGTTTAAAAACAATAAATCACAGAGGATCTGTCAGCAAGGCATCACCAAGTCCTGAGTGAATCTCTGCATGCATGTTAAGTATCCTCGAGACTTGCACCTACTCAAGGGGAGATTCTGGTGTGCAGCCAGATGCTTGCAAGGAGAACTCTGCCAGGGGTTCTTAGACTGCTTGGTATTTTTGGGTGGAATGGTTGACTCACAGTCATGCAGTTTAGAATTGGTTCTGTTGAACCAGGTGTCTGTTATCAGGTGTTTGATCACCAGTGGTGAAACCTTGATTGTTATTAGTCCCAAGAACAAGATCTTTTCCACCTCATTGGGTGCACTAGGCCTTATATAGGCCACAACGATCAGGCTGGATTGTGGCGGGAGAGGGGGGTGTTGGGGCGGGAAAGGAGTGCACTGTCACAACAGTACAAGATAGCCAGGAATGGATGGGATTAATTTAGCAGTTGTTAGATCTTGTCTTTCCTTGTTCTCTGCACTTTACAGAGTTACAAATGCATTCTTTGCAGCCCTCACATCTTGTCATTGGGGAAAGTTTCTACTTTAGGACTGAAAGAGAGCATCTCTGTTGAATGTGTGTGTGTGAACACTACAAAGGATGGATAAGGATGGGGATGGTTAAAAGAAATGCATGTCTTTTTTATTCCTTTTTTTTAAATGTTATAGCCAGAGTATAGCTTCCTTGCTTAGCACTGGGAATCTCTCAGGGAACTCAATTTTATGTGTGTTGTGTTACAGGAGGCAAGCAAAACATTATTCAGAGGTGAGTGTACTTGAATATCAAAATGCTCAGAGCCAGTTGGATAGATTTTTATTTCAGAGACTCTCTTTGCTTTTCTCTAACCTTGTTTCTGTTCAAGTTAAAGTGCTAAGGTATTGTAAGAAGGCAGTTGTATTAATGCTATTGCAAGAAGAGAATAGGTGGCCAAGCCATCCTCAGGAGATCCATGATAGAGTGTAAAATCTGTAGATTTTAGTTCATCCTCACATCAAAGAAGTTCCTAGCTGCATGTCAGTGTGTTGTGGGCTCACAGACCTTTTTCCTGTCCTCTTGTGAGAGGATGTTTTGAATGCAAGACCCACATAACTAGGGATAAATCCAAGGAAAAGGAAGTCAGATAGAGCCCATTTTCCTGTGTTTTCAAAATACAACACTTTAACCTCTTTTGCAGAAGAGAAGGCTCTGGGAAGATCTCATTGTGGCCTTCCAGTACTTGAAGGGAGCATATAAACAGATATAAACAGGAGGGGGAATGGCTGTTTATGAGGAGGTTGTGATAGGACAAGGGGGAATGGTTTTAAACTGAGACAGGGGAGATTTAGGTTAGGTATTAGGAGGAAGTTTACCACTCAGAAGGTGGTGACATACTGGAACAGGTTGCCCAAGGAAGTTGTGGATGCCCCATCTCTGGAGGCATTCAAGGCCAGGCTGGATGTGGCTCTGGGCAGCCTGGTTTGGTGGTTGGTAACCTGCACATAGCAGGGGAATTTAAACTAGATGATCATTGTGGTCCTTTTCAACCCAGGCCATTCTATGATGACCCTGGTTGGAGACCTGAATGGCAGCTACTGTTGCCTGAGGGAGCCTTCAAGTTGTCAAAAAGCTCTAATGCTATCTCTCAACCAACAGGCAACAACAGCTATGGTGAAGCATCCTCTACCACACGAGTACCCTCTATCATAGCCAAGTACCCAGGATAACATGGACCAGACTCATCACGTCTTCATCTCATATATCAGATTTTCCTACATGTTCAGTGAGGAGAGGTCTGGAAAAGGCTGAGTACCAGCAATCTGGATCTATGCAGTTTGAATGATAGTCCAAGGTGCAGAGTCTTTGTCCTTGGTTGACATCTGAAGGGGTCTATGGTAGAGCAGCGCATTTATGACATTTATTCTTTGGTTTCCTTGTAGCGTCTTTGGAACCAGTGGGATTTTTATTGAGGACTAATCACCGCAGGATTCACAGCCACTTTTCTCTGGAACAGTTTCCAAGCTGTGTTTCTTTGTTTGTAGGCCATTGCCCAGACCTCCACCACCATGACCCCCACCATCCCTGCTGCAACAGAGGCCTACACACGGACTCAGTACTGTAAGTGGCCGTGCGAGTGTCCGAAGTCCCCACCTCGGTGCTCAGTAGGAGTCAGCCTTGTCACAGATGGCTGCGATTGCTGCAAGATGTGCGCCAAGCAGCGTGGAGAGAATTGCACTGAGGCTGATACCTGTGATTTTCATAGGGGCCTGTATTGTGACTACAGTGGAGACAGACCTAGGTACGAAATAGGAGTATGTGCACGTAAGTGATGTACATATATTTTTGACTTAGATATACACTGGCAGCTCCTCTCTGTCTGAGCTGAAATTTATCTCATTAAATACCTGACTGTAAATTCAGCGGCTCCTCCATTACTCCTCCATCCTCTTCCATTTCCTTTCTGTCTTTAGTCTTGCGGTAGCTGGCTGGATGAGGAGGAATGGCAAATGAATTCTTGCTTTTTGAGTTGCTGCATCCACAAGCAAGAAGTAACCATCATTTGAAGGCCTTCAGGTTTGCAAGTAGATGATTCTACATTCGTTGTAACAGGAAGAGGTTCTATAGTGGGTTGTGAATGTAGGAAGTGCTGTTGTGCAACTGTCTTTAAAGACAAGAAATATTGGGGTCTGGATGAAAAACATGCTGATGGAAAGACTTATTCCCAATAATGGTTTTCAAAGAAGAACAGCACATTTTTGTAGCATACACAGAATAACAACTAGAGAAGCTATGTTATGGGAGCTAGAAACTTAAACTGTGATTTTTAAGATTAGAAAGATCCAAGATAAAGAAAAGAGGATATAGGATCATTCAGATGTTTTGTCTGGTGTGAACATGGTATCTTCTTGGGAGGTCTGCAAGAACAGGTTAGGTAAACATCTGTCAAAAACAATATCAGTTCAAGGTTAGGTAAACATCTGTCAAAAACAATATCAGTTCAGCTGGCCCTGCAGTTGGAGAGGAAAACAAGCTGGAGGTTGTCTCTTCCTCAGCCTTCCTAAGTTTCTTTGGAAGACTTCACATTGCATTGTGTTTACTTATCTAAACACTTGTTTTCTTAGTTGGATTTCACAATTTGTAGTCCTCCCATAAATCCCAAATAATTACTACACTTGTGGCAATAACAGTGTGTTGTAGGAGGAGCTACAGCTTGTCCTGTGAAGTCTAAAAGGATTCCCCATCCAATATGCTTTCACATCCCCTATTATCATGAAAATATATCCCCTAATTTGTGACATTTTTGGTTATATGGTGAGGGGCATGGTGGTGTGCACAGTTGAGGGACATGAGAAGCTAGGTCTTTCCATGATTATGAGGTAAAACAGTTTATCTCTGACTACAACAAAAAGTTGTGGTTACCCTTGCTTTCAGCATGTGGGTGGATGCAGATGACAGGATGTGCTGACACGTTCTTTTCCATGCACTATGTTGTACATAGGCTGCATCCCTCCACTCCAAATACACCAGACTCTCACTGGCTATAGGGTGACTGAAGGCAAGGGTGGAGCCCTGAGTTGGGGGTTGGGGGGCTAACTGTTGTGAGGAATTTGCTATGTAGCTGGATGCCAAAAACTCTAGCTCTAGAGAATCCAAAGCATAGAATCATAGAATGGTTTGGGTTGGGAAGGACCTTTAAGACCATCTAGTTCCAATCCTTCTGCTATAACAGGAACACCTCCCACTAGATCAGGTTGATCAGTGCCCCATCCAGCCTGGCCTTGAATGCCTCCAGGATGGGGGAATGCACAACTTCTCTGGGCATGCTTGACTTACAGGAACAATAGGATTTGTGGAAAATAAAGATCCTGAATGATCTTGGAAGCAGAATCAGGAAAAGAAATATGGTGGAAATTCAGAGTGTATCTGGACTAGCATGCTGATGTATGTCTTGGACATCAGATAGGAGCCTGTTGAGAGTCACTACAGCTCTCCTTGTGTTGCTGGATTTTCTCTGTACTGTAGCAGGGATACAGTGGGGTGCAGAACACACATCCAGATGGAGAAGTAGGTTTTGTGCATATAAGGATGGGAATTGTGAAGTACCCCCCATTCGCTCATCTTAGATGCAGTCTGTGTGCACAGTCTGTGTTTGGGGTTGTTTTCACAGTGAACTTCTTGATGGATGTGGACTTTAGGAAGCAGAGTTAGCACAGTTCTGGAGGAGTGTCCTTAAAGCAAATAAAAAGATACCAGGGAATACAGAATTTTCTTGAAATATAATCTGTGTGCGCAGCCAGAAATGTGTGCAGCAGAATCCTCTGCTTTGGCTCCAACAATGAGTAAACCTTCAATATAAAGGCTGAAGCATCATTGCAGTTGGAGCTAAGCACAATCTGGTTCTGTGCTTCAAATTCCAGCAAGTATATTTATTTATTTATTTTCTGTGTGTGTAGAAGAAAGGATTTGTGTTTGATCTTTTCATTCCACTCATTCTAAAAATAGGCAGCTTTTGAGGATTTTAATCCAGCATTTCAGTTTGTGCTGGCCCTGAAGCACAACCGCACTGCAGCTCCATTTCCAACCAGACTTAAAACTTGAGCAAACTGATCTCTGGGTGCACACTGCCTCCGTGTGACCAAACAGGAAACTGAAGCTTCAATTTACTATTTGATTTCTCCCACCGATTCCAAATAATTGTCCATGCCTTCAAAATTAAAATTGTTGCTCTGCATCTTATTGCCTGAATCAATGAGATTCCTATTCAAGGATAGCAAAAAAACTTGATCATCCATGCTTTTATTTACAAATATGCATCAAATGATATTTTTCATAACATTATAGTGTTTTTCTTAATTTTCCAAGGAAATTGTTCTGTGATAAACTCGGTGGGATCTACTTCCCTAATACAGTAATCCACTCTCATTTTAGGTGCTCCTTTGCTATCTCAGCTCTCTTCCTACTGCTGCTTTGGAAGGGTACAAGTGTCAACCAGATCTGTATCGCATTGAGACTGCATGCAATCCTCTCTTATTTCTCAGAAATTATCAAATTTCACTCAGTTTCAGTTTTAATTAATTGGGTTGTTCCTACTGTGAATAGCTTCTAATAGTTTCTTTCAGCCTGCCATGAAACGATCATTTAAGTGAGAATTTGTGCATGAAATATTTTATTTTATACCATTTTTTTTTTCCATGAAGCATTATAGGATTTATTTTTTCAGTGATTCGGAATTTAAGGTTTCTCAGATGGTGTGACTACATTTGTCTCAGCATCGTGCTGAACACTGCAGCCCTGACATGTCCCTATGTTGTCTCCTTTTGCTCAGAGAGCAGCTTGGTAAATCACAGAATTGCAGGGCTTGGAAGGGACCTCTAGAGATCACAAGTCCTACCCCCTGTTAGGGGGGACCCTACAATAGATAATGCAGGTAGGGATCCAGATGGATCTCGAATATCTCCATAGAAGGAGACTCCATAATCCCTCTGAGCAACCTGTTCCAGTGCTCTGTCACCCTTCCTATAAAGGTCTTCTGCTGTTAGTATGGAACTTCCCATGTTCAAGTTTTAAGCTCCTTGTCCTATTGCTACACACCACTGAGAAGAACCTAGGCTCATCCATTTGCCTCTTACCTCCCTTTAGATATTTATAAACATTTATCAGACCCTCTCAGTCTTCTTTTACCCCAGCTGAACAGACCCAGGTTACTCAGTCTTTCCTCAAATGGGAGATTCTCCAGGCTCTTTATCATCTTTGTGGCCCTCTGCTGGATCCCTTCTAGGAGATCCTTGTCTTTTATGAACTGAACCAAGTATTCTAAATGTGGCCTTACTAGGGCAGAGTAGAGGGGAAGGATCACCTCCCTTGCCTGCTGGCCACACTCTTTTTAATGCACCTCAGAGTGCGTTAAAAGGAATACATTAACACAATTCATTGACAGCATTATTGTAATGGTGCTTTGTGTGTCTTTTTCTTCTCTCCTTTCAGAGATTGTCGGTGTAGGATGTGTCCTCAATGGAGTCAGATATAATAATGGGGACACATTTCAGCCCAACTGCAAATACAACTGCACATGCATTAATGGGGCCGTGGGCTGCATTCCCATGTGCACAAACTCACGCCCCCCCCTTGTCTGGTGCCCGAACCCAAAACTGATTAAGATGGCAGGGAAGTGCTGTGAGCAGTGGGTTTGTGATGACTCCAAGAAAATCAGGAAGACTTCTCCACGTCACATCTCTTCTGCAGGTATGGTGAGAGTTTGGTGGATGTCTCCTTAGTAATCAGGGAACTGAACCATAGCATCATATAATCAGTAAGGTTGGAAGCTGCCACTACAATCATCTAGTCCAACCATCAACCCATCCCCACCATGCCCACTAAACTGTGTCCCTCAGTGCCACGTTTCTCTACATTTCTTGAACACCTGCATGGACAGTGATTCCCCCAGCTCCCTGGGCAGCCTGTTCTACTATGTCACCACTCTTTCTGAGAAGAAATTAATACCCTAATACCCAACTTGTATCTCCCCTGGTATAACTTAAGGCCATTACCTCTTGTCCTGAATTGAAGTCAGTGTCAGCGACAAGATTATTAGTTTGCACTGTCTGGCCTGGCAGGTGTCTTGTATTTGTGTGAACAAGGCACAAACACTCTTAGATGACTTGTAGTGAAGGACAGGACATGTATACAGCAGCGGGGTGCTTTACCTCCTGAGCAGCAACGTGAGATTGATCAGACATGCTTGTGTGACAATAAACACACTGCTGTCACTTGTAAGATGTCACAAGTCCTTTTTACTTCACCATTTTTTCTCTGTCTGGACCTCTGAAAAGCAAAGTGATCTCATTTTAATTTGATACTAAGAGTTTCTTTCTGGCTGGTACTGCATTAGTAATACATTTTTAAAGCCCCTTAATAGTCCCAAACTCAGATATGCTTTGAAATATTGTGGTGAAAGGTTCACTAGAAATTTTAGGCAAAAATGTCTTTGTATCTCTACAGGTTTTTGCAGTTATGTTCACTTGGATCAATGTCATTATTCACCTTACGTTATGTGTCATATAAGGTATCTTTTTCCCTCGCACTCACATTCACAGTGAGGATCATATAGTTCTCTGAACAGATGTGGTACCATTTGCCACTTGCATGGTCTCTAAATCTTACAGTGTGTTTCCATTGCCATGTGTCATACATTTATCCTCATAACATTGTAAAGCAATGTACAGACGTGAGTCACATCATTCCACAGAATATGTCACAAAAGTAGAGCTCAAGGAGACACAGGTTGTTTGCAGTAGGCCAGGGAACTTGGTTATTTTTCCGTTGATGATACATACATTTTTTCTCCATCCTTGGACCGTATGCTTGTTGTACAAAAAAATAAAAATAAAAAAAAAATCATAGAATATCCTGAGTTCGAAGAGACCCATAAAGTATCATCAAATCCAACTCCTGAAAAATCTTTAGTCTCTTTTCTGTGGATTAAAACCACCAGATTTTATCACTCGCTTCTGTCCCTGGTATCTCTCAGCTGCAAAGTAGATCCAAATTTAAAGCATCTCTTACTGAAATGTGCCTTTTGTCTGCATGGACTATAGCATACAAATGGGCATAGCACAGCTTTCCCTGCCTAACTTTTTATCTTAGAAGTAGAAGTAGGGTTATCTTTTATTATATTTGATTTAATTATTAAAATAGCATTTTAAAATTGATAGCTAGTATTATAATGAGCATGCTCAGCACAGCTGAGTTTCTATCAGAGCCATGCTGTGAGCTGCAGACCAGAGGGGACTTTTACAGAGACTGTGAAGGAACCTGACCTGAGGTCGATGGCTCCTTTCAAAACAGAGCCCACCCTTTTCTAAGCGGTTCCCAAGTTCCTTGTGAGCTATTCAAGCTGCTCTTCCTTCCAATGAAAGGCGGTGGCTGCTTCCCAGACCTCTCAGCCATACAGCAAAGACTGTCAGCAACTTTCTGCTACAGGGAATCAATTGAATGGACTCAGAAATCATAACCCTTCATGGTGCGATCAGATCTCATTACTTCTCTGCACCAACTTCTGTGATGAAGTGTTTGCATTGTGATAGCACCTGGGGGCCCAGACAAGGACCTCCTTGTGTGAGGCTGTAAAGAGAAATAGAGAAATCAGCTCCGGCCCCAAGAGCTCGCAGTGCTGGAGGGGCTGACACAAGTAGGTCAGTGGCAAAGGGGGTGGGATGGGGAGGTAAAAAAGCAAGCGGAGCTTCGTGGGGATGCTGAGCTGCTCCGCTGTGATTTAATTATTTGGGTTAGTGGCCTGAATGGGTAATGAGCTTGAGCAAGGGTGTTTAATACAGAAAGCTGCCTGGCTGAGTAATATATGATAATCTGTTCCCTATAGCATATGAGGGGGAGGATGAAGCCTGGCAGAAGAACTGCATCGTTCACACCTCACCCTGGAGTCCCTGCTCAAAGACCTGCGGGCTGGGCATCTCCACCAGGATTTCCAACGACAACGACCAGTGCCGGCTGCTGAAGGAAAGCCGCCTGTGCAACATGCGGCCCTGCGAGGTGGATATCACCAAGCATATTAAGGTGGGGACCGCTTCTTCGTGCTTCCCTTGAGCTTTGTCTGGACATGAGGCCAGCCTTTGTTTGCTAGTGTGCTGGCCTCTGAGAACTGCACTTCTGAACTCAGAGGCCATTAGTGAGCGCACGCGGACTCACTGTGCTGCAGAGAGGTCAAAATGTCCCCTCCTGTGCTTTCACATGCTGGAATGGAAACCTTCCCCTGAGAGCTTTAACTTTATCCAAAAGCTCCTTACAAGGAAAAGCAAGCCAAGCCTGCTCTGCTCACTGCTGGTGTAGGCAGATGTGAGGCTCAGCTAGCAGAAAAGTGATGCTGCACTGCTGGTCATGCCTATAAATTGTATTTTGCAAGTATCCTACTTGCAGCTTCTGGATTCATGTTTAGATGTGTCCACCTGTCACACCTCTAGATCCAGTCTGTAAAACACTTTTAGCAGCTTCATAGAATCATAGAATCATTAAGGTTGGAAAAAAAATGCTAAGATCATCTACTCCAACTACCAACCTATCACCATCACGTCCACTAAACCATAAACCTTGGCGAGGTGGTTTTCATCTCCCTGTGTCAGTTTGAAGCAATGAGTATTAATCAGTCTCTTTTTCTGTTCCCTGATTTAGCCTGGGAAGAAGTGCCTGGCTGTCTACAGGGCCAATGAACCCATGAACTACACCATCTCAGGATGCGTGAGCAAAAGTCCTTATAGACCCAAATATTGTGGTATCTGCACAGACAACAGGTGCTGCACACCCTACAAGTCCAAGACTATTGAAGTGAGGTTTGAGTGCCCAGATGGAACTGAGATTTCCTGGAAAATCATGTGGATCAATGCTTGTTTTTGCAACCTGAACTGCAAGAACCCCAATGACATCTTTGCCGACTTGGCTCATTACCACGATTACTCTGAAATTGCTAATTAAATTGGCTGAATGCTGGAATTGACCCATTGCTCTGATTTTACAGAGGTTTTAAAATAAAAGGAGAATCTTTCATCCAATGCCAATGTACAATTTGTTTTTTCCTGAGTTAGGATGTTAAATTTCCTTGTTTTGCCACACTGCTTTTAGAGAGGCTTTGAACAAGCAGGGTTTTCAACTCTTAACAGACCTCCATCCATTAAGAGTAGCCAGAAATTCTTCTAAGCAGACTCCAGGACTTAAATAACAGTCTTGCTGGCACTGGAACTTATTAGCCCAGCAGTTTCACTGTCCAAAAGAAAGAGCATTACACTTGTATGAGAGCAAAAGTATGGCTGTCAGGAACTTAGACATGAGCTTGAGACATCTTTACTATTGTTTCTTGAATAATATAATCTAATATGAAAAACGAGCATTATTATATGTAATTTATTTTCCCCATAATACTTCAGCCTTTGATGCTAGTGACCCTCTGTACTTGACCTGTTCTCTGTCACACACAGAGAACAGTCCCAGGAAATTCTCCTCTGTCATTCTCCCTTAGATCCCACTACTATGGATCCATGGGAAGACCTTTAGGAGAAGAATGTTCCTCTGTGCTGTCCCTGTTTCACTGCACTAGTATAGGTGAAAGATCCTCTGTGCTCCACACTTCTTGAGCTCCTATTTATTTCCTGGGGAATCTTGTGCCAGAGTTATTTTCACAGTTTTGCTACCAGCTCTCATCTTGAACAGCCTGAATGCTCTGAATCCAAAATGACTACTCCAGAGCTCATGCCTACAGGACAGAGTCTCTTGCCCACTTATACTTACTGCCATAGGTCAGTGTTGCAGACCTTGAGGAGAAGCTGTAGAGAGTCAGATGAGAGATGAAGAGAAACACCTGTGGTAGAGGAAAGGCATTACACGCATGTGTTAGTCTTCCCATTAGCTCTGTGGATGAGTTCATATGAAAGTAGAGTTTCTGGCATAACCAGTGATACATCAGTCACAAATGGATTGCTTTTTAGAATAAAATGATGTTTAAAGTGGTTTCACACTAGAATATTAGGTAAGAGTAAAGCATATTCCTGTTGTTACCATTTCAGACAACACACTTCTTGTCACCAAAGTGTACTGGAGTCAGTTTTTTGAGAGCTAGTTGTAGGTACAGATCCCATGCACCATGACCGGTTCACCAACTGCTTCGCTTGAGAGAGCAGAGCAGTAGAAATACATTTCTGCCTGGGAAACTTCAGTGTCTGCTTGTGAATTCACTGGTGACACAGGAGAACCACTGAGTGGACTGGGGCCTGGACCCACAAAGGTCTGAACTTCAGTTGATAAACTGTTTGAAATTAGTCATTTGTTTTGCTTTAGTTACAAATAGCAAGTTGTCTGTCTTCATCCTGATAAGCTAGAGGAAGCTAGACTAGTTCCCAAGAGACATAAATCTTTCTGACTAATGATAAATTAATGTTTCTTGTGAGTAGGATGAAAATAATGCAATCTGTAGGTAAAAACATACAGGAAAAATGCTGTAAATCTTCAAAACTCTAAACTTCAAGAGCAGTGTTATGTACAAGGATTTGATATGTACATTCTCCCATAGAGATAGCATATTCCTTAATCCAAACCTCAACGCAAACTGAAGCTCAACTTTTGCAAGACTGGGCATGTCACATTTTAAACATCATCTCTTGGAAAAATGGTCAGTGAGGACATAAGAAAAGGAGACTTCAGCCAAGAAGTTGGCAATATTTTCCAAAAGATGGAATGGTTTGCACTGAGGTTCTTGATAGAGAGGTCATCCCAGGAACTCAGTAAGATTCCCTGAATATTTGGACCATGTTCTAGATTTGGACTATGTGTATGTATATATACATGTGTGTGTGTGTACATATATACATACATACATATATGTTTGTGCATATCTACATAGGGGGTGTATATGGGAATATGTATATATTTGTCTTATATACATGCACATATATGATGCTGCATGCAATATTTTACATATTTTATATATGGAACATTTATGAACATGTCCATGAATATATATGTATATAATTATGTATATATATTCCTATCATGAAATACACGGTGCATAAAACAGAGTGTGTATATAACATATTTCCATGTACAGTATGTCTTTCTCTCATACAAGTACAGGTAGAGAAAGAAAAAATAGGGTGAATACACAGACCCAAAGCTATGGCAGTCAATACCCTTGCTTAGCTTTGCAATTAGCTAACACTGTAACCACCACTGCTGCAGTGGCTGAACCACAGAGATTTCATTGAGAGATAAAAGAAGCTATTGTAAGCTAATGCATGACCAACAGCTCCAGTGTGTGTTGGCTTTTAGTGAAGTGAATGCCTAGAAACCACAGATCTCCCCCTAAAAACCCAAGATGTTTCTGTTTCTGTCATGGTTTCCTAAGGGAACAAGGCATATGCATTTGTTTATCTATTAGTCACTCCGTTGGTAGCAAATGTCAAACAAAGTAGACAGAAGAGTAAAGATCTGAGAAGCATTCTCTTTCCTGAAATAAAAAATGAAATGAGACAGCAGGGAAGAGGAGAGGACCAGCACACTGCTCCTACCACACTTGTACACATCTGCCAGGAAGCCAGCGCAACTATAGGGATGGCCCAACCACAACAGCAGCATTAAAACATTTTGAACACATCTGTCATTTGGAAATGAATCGCAGTGGTGAAGGAAGTGCTGAAGGTATCCAGGTGGGAAGTAATGGCTATTACCCTTCTCTAAAGGAATTTCTGAGTCACTGGACACGGATCTATAGGAAACCAAGCACCATTAGCTTTGCTGCTGGTGGTGCAACTGCTTTTCTGTGCAGTGACGATGGATGGGATGGGTAACTCTTTTAGCCAATGCACCTGACTTGCAGTTTATGGTGCTTTAAAGCTCCTTTGTTTTAAGGGATGTTTTAAGGGATGATATTTACAGGAAGATTAGTGCTAGGGTTAAGACCTCTAGGTTTGGTTCACTGGCTCTCTCTGAACTTGAGCAAGTCATGTAACTTTACAAAAGTAGCTTTGGGATTACTATTTACATAAGCTGAGGAGCAAGGCCTTCCAAGACCTTGGAGGATTCAGCCCTCTGCTTTGCTTATCCTCACTCCTTCATTAGCGAGGCCAGAACAAAGCTATAGTGTTTGTTGCCTTTAGTGAGGGTGAAAACTCTTCCATCAACAGGAACTGATGATCACTTTGCATCTGTACTGTGCCTTGCACAATGGGCCCAGGTCTCTGCTGGGACCTGAAAGTGGTGTCATCATCCAAAAAAGCAACAATAATACCATTGTGGAGATGTCAGGCTCTGAGCTGGTGCCAGACCCATTTGGTGCAGCACTCCAGAAACAGGCTTGAAAAAAGATGAGAGTGAGGATTTTGCAATGCAGACTAAGCTGAGACTGTTTGACCCACACCCTGCCCATAATGATCATCATGTTGGCCTTGCAGACTGGGAGAAGGATAGAGTATGAGACTCCGATGCAAATGGCAATGCTCCAGTACCCATAGCCCTTTGCTTACCATAGGGGCTTTTCCAGTGTCCATATGGCAGCTCAAGATGCTATGTTTGGGAACTACTCCTTGAAGGATGGAAAGAAACAAGCACGTAACTTACAAGATGTCTTTGAATGGAGCTTTGACTAGAATTTAAAACACTATTTCAGCATGCATTCAGGGTGTGGTGCAGTTGCTTCATTTTTAATGGATTCACAAGGACTGTGCTGTATATATGTCATGCGTCAGGACTGCAACACTCAAATTCTGAGTCATCCAGTGAATTAAACCCTGTGGGTTTTTTTCCCCATTTTTTTTTTTAATGAATTTTAAGATAAGCAATTTATTACATTGATGGAAATGGAAATCTCTCATTAACTGCAAGCAAGCAAATATCCAAACAAATACATTTTCAGACTGCTACTTGTTTATTTCAGCAGTCCTGCAGAAATATTTCTGTGAGCTTCAGATGCTGAAATATATGAAGAAATAATAGGAAAAATAGATTGGTTTGGTGTGTTAGTCTGAGTTACACCAACCACGAACACATGTTATTTGTTCATTTGGAACCATGGTGAGGTTATGTGGGTGGCATGTTGCTGCTGTGATTTTAATATATTAAATAATCTCATAAGTGGCAAATGGTTAATGAATATATGACTGACACCTCATTTAGAGGCTTAGGCAAGCAAAAAAAGGTGAAGTATGCTTACCATGGATGTTTCTTTTTCCTTTTCCAGTCTCCTCATCTGACCAGCATCCAGGTGTGAGCTTGCAATTTGTGACAAAGCCCTGAGCTGTAGGATCTGTAAAAAATGAAAATAAAGTAGTAAGGAAAAGAAAGATGTTCTGAGGGGAGTTCCTTCAGTGTGAATATTTTGGCAGCTTGGGAATGCCAAGTGTTCCCCAGCTTACATGTCCTCATTTGCAGGCCTGTTTCTGGCTCTACTGGCTCTACTGGCTCTAGAGTTTTTTCTTTCTTTGTTTTTTTTTTCTTCTTCTGAAGTATTCTTATTGGACTTGGGATAGCTTGTGTAGGCTCTTCAGCAAAGTCAAGTGTTTTAATCAACCTGCCTAAGCATAACTTTTTTGTTATCTCTCTTAAGAAGCTATAATAATCTGTTTGCAACAGCCGTATGGACACAAATGGTTTAAACGAGGTTATTAAAAACAAGGAGAAACACATTTTAATTAAAGAATCATTGTTCCATACCCCAGCTCACATGCTCGCAGCTAAGCCCAGAAAAGATTCCATCATTTACTGCTAGGAAAGTTAAATTGTCATCATATTAAGATTTTCAGAATTTTCCTACAAATCTAAAGGGGATTTCCTGGTCCAGTGGGAACTTAAAACACTTTCCAGGACTTGCGGGACTTGCTTATGGCTACTGGAGCATTAGGTGAGAAATCAAGCTCCTCCCAGCCTTCTCCTTCACTATGCCTGTTTGGATGTGAAAGGAACTCCTCTTCAACTTAAACACATTTCAGCAAGAGACTTCAGCAAAGGCAACACATTTCCTACAAAAGTCCCATCTGGCTGATGCTTCTTCTGCTTGCATGTCTGTCAGCTTCCAAGCATACTGCCTTGCATGGAGGGCACCCTGGCTGCTTTCTCAGCCACTGTATTTGGACTAGCTTGGGAAAACCATTGCCTCTAAGCACTTTCCAAATCAAGTACTGACAGCCATGGTGGGCTCTACTGGTATGAGATTCCCCACAACCAAAGCCCAACCTGAGCAGTGGAGAGGGAATGACTGTGGGATCAAGGTTTAGTGCTGTCAGCTGGTAGTAAAGGAGTGAGCCTTCTTGAAGTTGTTCCTTAGTTGTCATTAATATTAAATGAAACCACATTGCAATTGGCTGAGCAGAGACTTTTCTCAGGTGGGGAGATGCAAGTGTAGGTGTGAGGTAAGGCAAAGAGACCAAGAGGAGACTCACTGGTGTGTGATGGGCTGGGTGGCACCATTCCGTGGGGGAGCTTCACCAGGTCCTACTAAGATGAGTGTCAATGATGTGTAACAGCTGGGTAACACCACTGCTGTCACACACAAAGCCCTGTCACACAACAGGACCACCGTGTGGGTTGGAACCTCGGCTTGGCAGCTGCACTTGCCCTGTACACCTTGCTGCTTGCAGGGACATGCACACACACAGAGCCAAAGACTGCCAGTGTAGTCAGTAGGACCAAGGTGGTGTTTGTCCCTCTGTTCTCAGCTCTGGTGAGCCCCATTTCTGTGTTTAGATTTGAGCTTCTCACTATGGGAGGAACATTGAGGCCCTGGAGCATATCCAAAGAAGGGCAACAAAGCTGTGAATGGTCTACAGCACAAGTCTTATGAACAGCAAGTGAGGGAACTGAGATTGTCCAGTCTGGAGAACAGGAACCTCAGGGGAGACCTTATCTCTGCAGTTCCCTGAAAGGATGCTGTTGTAAGGCCAGGATTGGGCTCTTCTCCCAGCTAACAGTGATAGCACGAGAGGGGATGGCCTCAAGTTGCACCAGGGGAGGTCTAGGTTGGTAAGGCACTGGAAATGGCTGTCCAGGGAAGTGGTGGAGTCACGGTCCCTGGAGATATTAAAAAAAAGGGGTAGATTTGGCACTGAGGGACATGGTTTAGTGGGCATGGTGGTGGTGGGTTGATGTTTGGACTAGATAATCTTAGTGGTCTTTTCTAGCCTTAATTCAATGATTCTATGAAATCCAGGCTGCTAGCAGTCTTACATTCTTCCAAGAGCTATTAGTTATGGCTGTAGGGTGTGTACAGAGCTGCCCTAGTTCTCACTGAGTGCAATCGCCCAGTAAAAAGCTCTTCCCTGCCCCCAGCACTCTTCACGCACTGACCTTGACCCGAATATTATAATCCACTTCAGCCACAAGGAATAGCAGTGCATGGCGGGTCACCCAAGGACTGTTTTCAGCTCTGATGTGGGTCACGGCTCACCAGAGTGGTGGTGACTGCATTAGGTGCTGTGTGGGAAGGAAGAGCTTCCTGTACCAGCTTTCCCAACCTTTGGTCTCTTCTGGGGTTGCTTCATGATGTTTGTGTCCAGTGCCTGATGTACACAGGGTGAGGGCTGTGAGGGCTGCTTCTTTAATTACCGTCGAATAACAGCTCTGCTCTGGCCCCCGGTAGCTGCTGGGTAAGCAAAAGATCCCCATGCTGGATTGCAAGGAACAGACATTGGACTGTTTGGCAGTTGCAATCAAAAGCCTTTTTTTTTCTTTCTCTTTTCCCAACACTGGTCAGCAGCTGTGTTGTTTATAGGATGAATGGAGCCCTTAATGAAGCAATAGATAGAAACAGTGAGAGGCTGTGTCTGTCTGTTGCAAAGGGCTGAGGGGGAAGGGCTGATCTCCCGAAATACCCTGACATCCTTTCTTTTGGTTATTTAAACATCAGACGCAGCAGTTATCAGCTATCAACATAAAGCCTATATTTGGCTCAGTGGAAACACTAAATCCACACATCAAAACAGCTGTTGATATGTATGGATCCAGAGAGACTTACAGGTCCAGTGAACGTGGGATAGCACAACACAGTACAAAACAGTGCAAAACAAAAGCAGACGGCATGTGGGAAGAGGGCAGACTGAGTTACTTGTGAGATTGCTGAATGTGAAAACAACAGTGTGTTACTGGCACAGCACGGATTGCAACAGACACGAAAACAGACAGGAAGAGGATTCCAGCAATGGAGAGAAAAATAAGCAGCTTTTCTATAAACTGTTTCTTTTCCTCCAGCTCAGTCCATCGCTTGCAACACGTGACATTAATCATAAACCCCCCAAATGCATCTAGGTTAAAGTTTCCAGCTGTTTGGTCTCCAGAGACTTTTAAATAGAAAAGCAGCATCCTTCAGCACAAAAGTCCTGTGTCGCTCATGCAGTATTGGCACATCCACTTCCACTCTTGCTCTGCAAGGACAGGGTGGGGGAAGGCTTCGCTGAAGTTTAACTGATCTTTGCATAGTAGATGCTGAGGCCCATGAAAAGGTGGAAAGAACTCTGATTTCAGCAATTACTCTATGATTCTACGAGAGGTTCTGAAGAGCAGTTAGGAATCCTGTTGGTCCTTCTGTTCTCAGTAACCTCAGGAGCACTATGAAAGTTGAATTGTTTATATTCCGGAAAACTCCTGTTATCTAATCAGAATTTCCTCTCTGCCATAAGGCACTCCTGGCTCCTTAGAGGCCACCCTTGAGTACTAAGTTTTGGGCCCCTCACTACAAGAAAGTCATTGAGGCACTTGCAAGCTGTAGGAGTTGGGTATTTTTATTTTTTAATGAATTTTCATAAACCTGCAAGCCACTTGCATCTCTTCAGGTTAAGTACCGGTAAAGGATGCCCAGTACTGCAGGCAAAAAGGAGCCTTAACTCCTTTTAAAAGGTAAAGCACCACTTCTCTGTAAAGCTCTCCAGGATTTCTGTACAGGTACACACTGTTCCTTGCCAGATGAATACTTTTTGTTGCAGAGCTGACATTTATAGTGGTCCTAGCAACTCCCAGCTGCTGAGAAGCTCTCACAGATCCCTTTGTGCTACAAGAAGGATTGGATGCATTCCTCCCTGTTTAAAAAAACTAAAATGCTTAGGCTTTGACAGACACACCATGGTGTCCTTGTGGAAGGAATGATTAGTCATTCCCAGAAAAGCTCACAGAAGAACATAACTTTGCCCTTCTTTTGTAAGATGTGTTGGCACATGTTATTCCCATTTTCACTGGCAATGGCATAGGCTGTGGTTGACCAAACCAACCTCCATTCTGGTAACACTCCAGTAACAACTGCTGAATAATCACATTTAGTGGGACATGGGCTCAAACATGACAAATATTTGCTTTTGTCTCTTTGTATCACAGCATTTTCCGAAATACAGGAAGAGCATCAAAATTGTTTCAGCAAAGCCACAAAATCCCCCCATCCCTGAAACTCCCAATATGTTACAATGGTGCCTAGGTAAGAGGGTGGTGAGGTGTTAGAACAGGTTGCCTAGAGAGGTGATACATGCCCTGTGCTCCTGGGGACACTCAAGCTCAGGCTGGATGGGGCTCTGTGCAACCTGCTCTAGCTGTAGGTGTTCTTGTTTATTGCAAGGGATTTGGACTAGATGACCTTTAAGGGTCCCTTCCAACATAAACTATTCTGATTCCAAGAGCAGCAGTGTACATAAAACCAGTCTGCCAGCACCCAGATTGCCATGAGAAAGCAAACTTATACTTCTGCTTTAAGGACAGAAATAAAACAGTGCTTTAATTATTTCCTGCATCTTCAGATTCCTCTTTCTTTTATGTTTGGGGTTTTCTTTCAAAATTATTTGGAAGAGGGGATCCCTACTGTTTTAATGTGAGATTCAAAAAAGAACAGTACTTAGAAACACAGAGAGGTAACTGCAAGGCAGTCAACAGACAAAAATACCTCCAAAGGCAGGTTCACACACCCAGAATTCAAAAGCCTCAAAGGCTGAGGAAAGAAAGGGTGCAGTAACGAAGACACCAATTCCTGTGAGAAAGACAGGATTGTATAGAAACACAAAATCATTAAGGTTGGAAAAGACCACTAAGGTCACCTAGCCCAACCATCAACTCATCTCCACCATGCCCATTAACTCTTCTCCCTCAGTGCCACATCTCCACATTTCTTGAACACCTGTACGGACTGTGACTCTGCCACTTCCCTGGGCATCCTGTTCCAGTGCCTCACCACTTCTTCTGAGAAGAAATTATCCTTTAGTATTTTGAACAGCCAGTAACACTTCATACCAGAATGTTTTGTGTTTTCTTAGTATAAATACTACACTGGAGTGGGGAGAAAAAAAAAAAAAAAAAAAAAAGCTCAGAGCATGAAAGTAGGGAAGGGCAGGAATAGGAGAATGTGGAAAAAAGATTTCATTTCTACAAAGGAGTGACAAGGAAAAAGCTCCCATTAAGCAAGCTTGTTGTACTCCTGGTAAAAGATGAAGACACACGACATTGCAAAGTTACAAATTTATTTGTTTTGAAATAAATACAAATACTTCATTAAGAAACTTTTCTTGATAGACTTTACACAATAGCTTTATTCTCTCTTGAAATTGTCTGTTCTTCCCACAAACCATTACAGATATCCTACACGAGAGCTGAGTTAGTCAATATAAAGTAACCTAGATGGCATTCCTCTGAACAAGCAATCCCAAAGTATTAACATCTGCCATTTAACTGCACGGTCTTTGAGTTTCCTTGTTTATGCAAGGGCTGCAATGCAGCAGGTATGCACTCAGTACTCAGGAAATCCCATCCTGTTGAAGGACAAACTTAAGGACATCCAACTATGAAAATCTGACTGGCAGAAAGATATCAAATCACCAACATCAAAAGAAGTAACCCAAGGTATCGGGCAGCTACTTAAAGATGCAGAACCAGCAGATCATTACATTTACAAAGTCATTAAACACTGTATTTTGCAGTTACAGTACTGTTGCTCCATCACTTTCTCAAATATGCTTCCCAGCACCAGTGAGATCTCAGTTTCAAATCTAGTAATTAGCCATAATTGAATGTACAGCATTTAATTACATGCCATTTCACACTTATTCATCTCTCCTGACAAAGAACAGCTGGATCTGGCTGTGCTTACAGATTCTGAATGTCTTTCAATTGTGCTGGACGCAAAAACTAGAGCTGCAGACATAGGAAGCTGTCTGAAGTAAAAATCAATCTGCTTTTGCTTTCCTGGCATGTATGGCTACCCTACTTTCTCAGACTACACCATTTTTTTGCAGCACTATAAACCCTTTGGCCCAAGATCCCAAAGAGGAGATGCTTCCTTGCTTATAAAATTTAATCCTGTCCTCACTTGGCTAAGCAGATTTTAGGGTCTAGAAAGGGGGAAAGAAAGGAAGACTGGAACTAGATCTCAAAAAAGTGAAATAAAAAAAGCTTAAAGATTTAGTTCATCTTAAAGTCACATTAAATTTGTCTATTTTAGTAGTATATTATTATGTGTAGGAAAACTAATGAATTAGAAGGCCTATAAATGCACGATACATTAACTTCTCTATCATTTGAAGTCAAGCTATATACAATGCATTCAACTCCAGCTTCAACATGAGGCCATAACACATTTGTTTCCTTTTTCTTTTAAAAAAAAAAAAAAACAAAAAACAAGCCATCCATAATAGTGATTTTCTCCCTCTCTTTGAAGCTCATCTCAAATTGTGCCAGTTACTTCAAGAGAATTAGAGATAAAGGGGCACGTAATTGATTTTGAAGAAGAATATTAAGCAAGTCTGGTTTGACTCTGAAGTGTTTACAACCATATCGGCTTTTGGCAAGTTTCCTTTTGAATTTGGCATCCACTGAAAGAGGGCAAAATAGCAGCAACTGTCTGAGTTACAAGAGTAACAATAGAGCAAATGAGATGCTTCTTTTCTTTGGTCCCCATCAGACCCTGGAGAACAGAGCTCATCCTACAGAATAGCTTGAGATTAATACCAGTTATGTTTTTGTGATACACAAGGGGCATCCTTTATTTTTTCAAACTGTGAACAGTTTAAACCTTCCTCACACGCTTAGCAGGACACTTCCATGGACTTGGGGCCTGATTGCTCAGCATTGCTGGCTGAATTTGGCGTCAGCTCGATGCGTGTGTCTGTGTGGGAGCGGTTCCTGGAACCCTCCCCAGTGTGGGATCGGCTCCGAGTTCCCTCCCCAGTGTGGGACCGGCTCCTTGTGCCTTCCCCAGTGTGGGACCGGCTCCTCTGTCCTTCCAAGGAGGTTACGCTGGAGCCAGAAGCAGTGCGGGACCTCATCAGCCTGGTCATGCTAGCAGAGGGCACTGGAAGAATCACAGAATCACAGAACTATTAAGGTTGGAAAAGACCACTAAGATCATCTACTCCAACTGTCTGACTTTCATTAATAACTTGCTGTCTAAACTTGGAAGAAAGCCTTGCCTTACTTCCAGCCCTAACTACCCATCATGTTGAATACAGTATCCAAGGTAGCTTCACACATAGAAGTTAAAGCACTGTTTTTACCATGTGTAAAACCCCAAGTTCCTGTTCCTTATGGAGGCAGCTGTTGCATTGCCTCCTGAGTTTGCTGGAGAGTGCAAGTTCGGCAGTGAAAGGGCTGCTACTTCAGACTCAGCTTGAATGGAGTCACCACTATGCCATCTTAACTTTCAGGGCTTGGAGAGCAAAATGGAAGATGAAAGGAAAGGACCAAATGTTTCCCCTGTAGCCAATACAGTAGATCACCTGCAAACCTGTGCTGGGATCCACATATCACACATCTGAGCCAAAGCCTCAGAGATATTCTGCAACTTTGTGAAACGCTGCCTCCTGCACTCTTTGGTATGAAGCCGTTTAGTTTAAGAATATCTTCATGCATTCTCTGAAACACAGAAGCATCCCTTCCTCAACCTACTGGTCATTAAAGAACTGACAGAATAGTATGAATAATGATTATGGGAAAACATGGATTAGATGAGATGCCTGGGAATTACATACAGTTAGTCAGATAAATAAAGGGCAAAAGAACTTCACCTTTATTTTGGAGAATTACTTTGCAATAGAAAACTATCTACAAAGCTTTCTACTATCTAATAAGATGATTTGGACTCAAAACCCCTCTCCAAGACATTGATGGTAGTCTTTTTTTTCCTCTTGCAAATGCATGTCAACAGGGAAAAGACCAAATATCTGTGATCAAAAGGCCCTCTGAATACTTAGATGCCCAACATACTTGATAGCTACAGGAACCATTCCAATACCAATACTTACTGTATCCCATTCCCTGAACAAAGTATTTGAAAGCTTCTGCAAGTTTTGCAGGCTGTAAGAGAAACAGAAGATTACTGTACACAGTGATCAGCAATTTAGTTATATTACAGTATGGTAGATGCCACAGATGTCTGACCTTCATAGGACATATTAAGTATTTTCTAGGTTCTTCTGAATTCCCCTGAATTTTTCATTTACATGAGGAAATGCCACTATTGCCCTCCCTCATCTGCTTCTCTGCCCCACTGTATTAACAGAAGGAGACAAGCATTTGAGAATGACATTTTGGGATAAGTGACTGTAAGTGGTCTATGCCCAGTCCAAAATTTACTAGTGCCGTTATTTAGGCAGATGAATCAAAGTAAAACAACTCGCCTCATATGAGGCATTTCATACTGGGTCCAAATCAGCAGAGAACAAATCCAAGCAGTGAGAGTCAACAGTTAACTTTACAGGGCAAAATCTAAGTGGAATTATCCAAGCACAATTGTATGACTGATGTTCTTGCAGTATTTTTCTTTGCTGATAATGCACCAGCCAGATCAGCCTCTACCTCAGTTACTCAGTTTGCAAATGCTGCTAATATTTTTGGCATAGTTTTTTTCCTGAATCAATGCAAAGAACGGAATCTATCACAGCAACAAAGTACGGACTGAACCTGATTTATAGGTCAGCATTTTTAGTGAAGCAGAACTAGAGCATAAGTACGTTTTTAACTTTTCCAGCCTGGTTTCACTATCAGTCCCCAAAATTGTACCCAAACATTTCAGAAATTCCAGTTCATTCTCAGTCAAGTCAGGCCAGTGTACATGAGAACATGGCATTGTTATTCCCTGCCTCCCCCCTTCCTGATCTGTACTAAAAATAGTCCAAGTAAAAATTCAGCTTGAAAATGCTAGTGCACAAGCCTTAATCTATGTTAGCTTAGTAGACAGGCATAAAATAATATCTTTTCATTCCCACATCAAACCTTTTCTTGGTTAAGACTTAATTAGTAGAAACAATACCCCCTTCTATTCTTAATTCTGAGCTTTATTGGTCTTTAAAGAAAAAAAAGCTGAGATGACCAATTGACTCAATTATTCAAGTAATCATAACCACCCTTTTGGCTGAAATTTGGGAACAGCAAGTACCCCGGAGGAAAACACCCATTTGTTGCAACCTGGGACACTGCAGAACAGGATTAGTAGGATTTCCGTCAGCCAAATCATACCTGGGAAACTTGAGGGAGCCCACCACAGTCAGCCATCTGAAATGAGGATGAGAACAGTTAGAATATTGCCAGAGGAACTCATTTGTGCTCAGGATACACTAAAATGACCTTTTTAGCTATCTGGCAGGAAAGCATTTCCTTTTCTTGTACGAGTAACACACATGTAGAAGAGTGCACTAAAGCAAGTAGCTGAGCATTCATGAAAGCAACGACTGCAACCCAGAAAACCTCTGAAGCTATTTGACCCTCAGGCAAAGCATCAGCTAGAGCTACAAATAAATGTTTTTGATAGGAAGAGATCACTTTCTTAGAAACTAGCCTGATAGTCCTGGTTACATCTCCAGTTCTGAATTACAGTAACGCGATGCAGTATTGACCTTAATGACAGGGGAGAGAAAACAACTGCCTAAATCTCAGAGGTGAGGTAAAAACACTTGCTGAGATTGTGGATGGCAAGCATCAGCCTGACTTGCCAAGGGAAGCAGAGAAAGCCAAATTAGAAAGCTATCTTGAGTGCATGCAATATTTTTGGAGCACTTCATTTTTCCTGCCACTCCACCCCTCAACGTCATCCCAACAAAAACAGTTCTGTTCCAAGGAACACCACAAGCTGAAAACAGCTGAGTTGTGAATTACAGGAAACCCCAAATCCTATTTAGGATTAATTAGCAGCAAAACAGGCCTGCAGCAGGTTCTAGCATCAGCCGTATCCTTGGATGGGCAAAGGCTGGTCACTGACAAGTGTTAGAGACAGTGTCAGATTTTTCCTTAGGATAAATCTGCCATGGCCATGTAGTAGGTCAGCGTTGGGACTCCCCAACATTAGGAGGAAAAATAATTTAAAATATAATTGCCTACTATCATTTCCTCTGGAGAGTTTAATAAAGAGAGGTCGTTAGAATTTCCCAGTAGAAGGATGACCAAGTTTGTGTCAACATTTGTGTGCTATTATAATCATCATACTTTAAGCATCATTAATGAGCTAGAGATTGCATCCATACTACAAATGCCAAATACCAAAGACTACATGATTCTTTGCAGTTTTGTTGGCTCAGCTTACCAACTTTTTGGAAAATATAGAAGTTATTTCCAAATATAAATTGTCCTGCATTGTGTCTGCACAGAAGGCAGGATGTCAATACTACGAGAGATAGATCAGTTCCCTACTCATCTCATAAATTTGCTGAGGTGCAGAGGAAAATAGAGTGGATGTTTTCCATTTTCACTCCTCTGAAGCCCTTTTCAAACACCAGCTCTGCCAGCTCTGGTCAGATTCATTATGGGTATGTGAAATACTGAGCATTCTAAGTCTCATGTCTGGTGTTCTAGAATAGAGGGGCTGTGAGGTTCCCTGTTGTTAGCACTGGCAAGAAGCTCCCAGCTTGTTTTATCCCAATAGAATATTCACAGAAGCGTAGAATCATTTGATTTGGAAGGGACCTTTAAAGGTCACCCAGTCCAACTCCCCCGCACTGAACTTGGACACCTACAGCTAGAGCAAGCTGCTCAGAGCCCCATCCAACCTGACACTGAATGTCTTCAGGAAAGGAAGGGGCAAGCTACATCTCTCTTGGCAACCTGTTCCAGTGTCTCATCACCCTTCTTGTAAAAAAGTTTTTCCATATATACAGTCTAAATCTTCTATTTTAGTTTGAAACCATTTCCCCTAGTCCTATCACAACAGACTCTGTTAAATTATCTGTCCTCATCTTTCTCATAGACTCCCTTTTATTATCCTGAAGGCACTACCCTTCCACATCAGAAATTTCACTGTGTCACCTCTACTGCGTCACAGTGGTCTGGCTCTTTCAATTAATCCATTATATTTTAAATAAGGAGAATGTGAAGTTTAAAAGAAACAGCTCTTATTACCTTCAGAAGTGTTGTTCTTGTTGGGTCCAGCTTTGAATTGCATTCAACCTATGTGAAAGAAGTGCAGGGTAAGGCATGGTAACAAGATACAAAAATATGAACTGCTTGCTGAAAACATTGGTTTCTGGCTTAATGCAGACTAACTTTGGTACCTTAGGCTTCTGCATAAATACAATACATATATACTATATATAATCTTATTGTATACAGCTGAACAAGTGTCAGTTCACATTTACAACTGTATTCTTTGCCATGCATAAAACAAATCCATTAGCTAGGGCTTGTGATTTTTTTTTTTTTCCACATGTGTCTGGCACTCTTGTGGCAACAAGGGTTGTTTATCTTGTAATCTGGGGTCATCTGGTAGCGTCCCAAGTGGTGAGCAGCCACGTGGCCACCAGCCAGCAGGCTGGCTATGCCTGTTAGGGCACAGCACTTGAAGTCACTCAGTCATCTGGGGCAAGTAATAATAGACAAATAGAAGCTCTTCGCTTCCATAGTGACCCATGGCAGGACTCCAATGCCACAGAACAAGTTCAGATACCAGCAGCAGATCCCTCTCTAAAGGAAAATATTTGCAGTTCATTGGAACTGCTGTGGCAATTGTTCTTAATGCAGGAGCTAATAATGATGATCAGACAGAGGGCACAAACAGCTAGGAATAATGGCAGCTCTCCCGCGGTCTGAAAGAGGACTGTCATTTGGGCTGACTCGATGGCTGGCGAGATTGCTGTGCTGCTGGGAGCTTTGCTGGGCTGGCTAAGCATCTTGAGTCACCTGCCTAGCAACACTGTGTTGATGAGGGTTCAGTATACACACCACAGCATCCACTGCTGGGGAGCTGTCACCAACTACCAGGAGCACAGGGCACCTGCAAGGAAGCATACAAAAGCTGTATTATTTCTGTGATGCAGCCCTCAGCTTCATTTTGTGCCCTGGAAAGGATAAGGCAGGTGTATGAAAATTATGTGTTGTGTGTTCCTGGCACACATAAACCACCCCATATTACACACTCTGAATGGTTGAGGTTGGCAGGGATCTCTGGATCCATCTGCTGGCCCAACACTGCTGAAGCAGGGACACACAGAGTAGGGGGCCCAGGACCACATCCAGGCAGCTTTTGAAGATCTCCAAGGAGAAGACCCCACAGCCTCTCTGGACATCCAATGCCAGTACTCAGTCACCCACACAGCAGAAGTGCAGGTACACAGACATGCCTTGACGCCTTGCCTGAGATCCTGTCCTTTTTCTCATCTTGTGGCAATCAGCCCTTCCCATCACTTTTTTTTTTTTTTTTTTTTTTTTTTTTTTTAAATTCAATAAGGATTTGAACGTGAGTATCAGCCTCAAAGTCTCATCCCTCTCCCCACTACTCCCCAAGTTCCAACTTTTGGACTGTAAGCCAATTCCAACCAGTTTGGCAGATGAGCGAATGTTTCCCATGCTTAAAGATCAGTAGAGGACTGGAAAACTATTTCATTTACAAGATGCTGTGTAAGTAAAAAGCTATCAGCAGAAAATCTGGTAGATAACCGTTCTCACACCTGTTTCACTTTCCTTTGTTGTTCAGATTGGTTTTGACTATGTTTCTCTGGTTGGGTAGGCATGGCTGTAGTGCATCCAGAGCTGTAGTTCCCTTTAACGAGGACAGACTTCCAGGCTAAGTACATCTACTTTTTTAGCATCTAGTCTGGTTTTTGCACGGAGTTTGCAGTACACAGTACATGGCAGGCACTACTTGTCTATGTAGTTAATGTGTCTCTGAAGTTTGAAACGGGGAACTCTCCGTACTGAATGTCCCTGACTTCACAACAATTCAGCTCCCAGATGAAGCTACAGGACCTTGCCAGAAACTCAGCTACAGCCCTATAGTGTCCATGCAATGCACCCAGATTCCATCTCTCGGCTCACACCACATACAAGTGAACTGATGGGAAATAAAACACTTACTGAAGGGTGACAACATTTAATCCAGGAACAGGGCGCTCAATCTCTAGGTCTCGACGACTAAAGAAAATGAAGAAGACAAATATTTTTGACACGCTGAAATTTAATAGATGCTTCCAAATTCTGGTTTACAGAAAGCACGGACGCTCACAATATGTTAATCTGATACGTTAATCTCCATAACTGATAGTGAAACACTTTTAAACTGAAGTATCAATGTCCACATGTACCATCTGTCTCCCCATAAACACATGAAGACCTTCTCTTATAAGCAAAACACCTGAGATCCCTAAAGGTGCATATCAAGTAGAATTTCATATGGGGGGAAAACAAGTAACTCCACCACACAAATAACACAGGCTGAAAAAGAGCTGGACAGCCTCTTAAAACAGTTTCCAGTTAAAAATCAGGTAAATACGTTTACCTGTTGTAAGAGTTGACAAAGAGATGAAGGTTGGTTTGATTCATATCATTAATAATATGCTGACGGTAAGTATGGATCAGGTCATGGTTGCTGTGAATCTCTTCCTACAGTGGAAACAGAATTGTTCAGAACAGGGGCTGTTTTCTGAGAGGATCTGAAGACATGGCACAGCAGTCATGTATCAGGCTCATATCCATACAACAGGAGTGCACTCTTAGGGCAGGAACAAGTTGCAGCACTCAGTTTTATCACCCAGAGTTAACATTAGCATCTGACTGTTGTTCCATGTTTTTCAATTTAAGAGTAGGCTTGCACTGAAGAACATCATTTGTACTAGTAAGCAGTTTTCTCAGAGATATAAGTATATTACTGTATAAAAGCACAGTAGTGCTCTACTCGTGCTTAAATATCAGCAAGCCAAACTGGTAGCTACATCTTCTGGAGTTGCCATGACAGCACTGTACTTGGTTGTTTGGCACTCAGCTAGCTTCACTGCAGCATCCATACTTCAAAGAGCTGGGAATGCAAGTATTAATCCTATCCCACAAGTTTAAAATTAAATTTTGCTACTTAAGTGAAAGATTATCCCCTCTTCCAGCTCCAGGAGGTAAATACAGATGACTGAAAAGACTAGGTTAATGTTTTGAACGTGCTTACCTTTCCAAAGAGATGTGAAATGACCAAGTCTGGTAAAGCATTTGTCCAACCTGAAATCTGAACAGCAAGATTATCTAAGTATGTGATATTAAAACTATCTTTTGAAACCTTTTAATTACCCCTAAGTAGAAGAATGGATGTTTATCCTGGACCGATGTTCTTCCCCTCCATTCCTACTATAACATCATTAGGCATCAATTACGTTTGAGTTGTTCTCATAGAATGTTTTTTACTAATGCAGATATGCAAGGAGCACACTACTAGTGGCATAAGTATATATGGAATTACTCTCTGAAAATCAGCCAGATGCATGCAATTTAACCTCACTGTCCAATACCACCCCTAACACAATGGCACAATGACAGTAATGTGGAGCTGGAACCTAAGGACCATAGAGGTCAAATTCCAGAATACATCCTCTTAGTTTGGAAAAACTGAAGGATACAAGGGACACCTGAGGTCGACAGCACCTAGGAGAGGTGGACAGCAGAGACACAAATGTGAAAGAATTTAATAATGGAGAAATATTGCATGAGATAACCCCAAAGGGTCAACTGCTATATCTCATTGTAGATGAGTTAATAAATACAAATCCAGATCACTTAATGTCTCCTGGGACATTTACATGGGATCTCTGTATGTATGCTTAAAAGACAAAACAATAATTTTTGTACTTTTGTGTATTCATAGTAACTGTCATTCATTAAAACATGACCCTAAATGATATGAAGTGTCAGTTTTTTCAGTCTCCTTTGAAAAAATGTTTCAGTAAGTTAAAACTGAGTGATGCATAATGTAACATTTATACCTATTAGCTCCTTGAGGCTGCTTGAAACCAGCTCTCACCACATTTTTCCCACATTGTAATCTTATAGCTACAAAAGAACGATGTTTACAGGGGATTCTTTATTTGTGAACAAATTCACTTAAAAGTCTAATTGTATGGGCAGCCTTTCCAGCAGTTATCATAGCCAATGCTCTTTTATGACTCTTTTTGGTATCCAAGACTCAGCTAGATGGCTTAAACCAGGAACATGTTGTTTTGAACATTTTTTTTTCCTGTGTTTTAATTAATATTTTGGACCATGCTTGTAAACAAAGCCACAGGCAAGAAAAGCAACACTAAGCTTGAAGTTTAATTGGAAGAATGCTGTTTCCAAACCTATCTCATGTTCAGGTTATAATAGCTTTTCCCCTGAGTCATTACCAGCTCTCAAGTATTGTTTGTACCTAACAGCTCCATTATACCATGGGTAAGCAGCACTTATTTTTATCGCTAGCCCTACAGGAGGTATGTTTGAAAATGAAAAAATAAACCCAAAAGAAATTTGTCTAAGATATTTTCTCTTTGCAGCCCTGTCTCGACACACGATCTTGTCCAGCTCCTCATGCCTGACCGCCTCACAATATGATTTATTTTTCTGACTTAAAAAATGTTTACCTTTGTTGCTGCCCAGTCCATCCAACCTTCAGCACAAGGGTTTACATTAATGAGAACCAATCCCTCCACCATGTCCGGGTGGTTTAACTGCAAAAGAAAAGGTTTGAGTTAAGATTCATCCTGTGTCCTTTGCAAGCTGACAGTCAGCATAAAATTTAAATTAGCAAATTATCTCCTGGGGAGAAAGGCAGTAGGTGTAGTTTTATCTTGCACAAAACAAGCACATGTATGGAAAAAGGATTTAATTAAAGCAATTCAACTGAGCAGCTGGAGAACATTAAGATTTAACATCTTCCCCACCCTCAGTCTAAATAGAGAACTCCCATTAAAAAAACCTTTTGTAAATCAACTGGGTAGAGCCCAGGCTTTAGAATGGAAAATCTAAGTCTTTTGGTTGAGCTATCCTGCAGGCTGTGGTACTCCACTTAAAAGCCTGGCTGCTTGCTTAAATGCACACAGCAGAGCAGGAACTCTCTGCTCACCCTATGGGGGCAGCAACACCTCAAGAAAATGGGGTTCAAGCCTTTAAGAAGGCTCCATGACACTTACAGCAAATCTGGTCAGGACGTAGGCACCAGCTCCAGTTCCCATTCCAATAATGCTCTTCAGCCTGCACAGCAGTTATGTGGCATGAGATAGAGGAGACAAATCAGTAAGAGAACACCAGAAATAAACAAAACCCTATCAGCAGCCCTCCTATCAAGCTGCATATTAGGGAAAATTTCTTCTGGGAAAGAGTGGTCATGCATTGAAACAGGCTGCCCAGATTGGTGGTGGAGGTACTGTAGTTAGAGTAGATAGGGTAGGCATGGCACATGGGTTAGTGGCCATGGTGGGATGTGTTGATGGTTGGACTAGATGATCTTATTTATCTTTTCCAATCTTAATGATTCAATGATTCTTCTTGCAAACACCAGTGAAAGGGCAGATCACATCTAGAGCAAACCACAGATTTCAGCAATACCTCCAGTAAAGAGCAGGGCACAGCAACTAGTTGGTTTTAGGAGATTAGCAGACTCTGGTGCTCACACACTACAGCCCAGCAGCAATCCTCACTTATCCTTAAGTAAATACATGGAGAAACAACAGCATTGTTCTGACTCTGGAAGGAAATGGCTCCTCTGCCAGAAAAACTTCTAAGATAGAGTCCTGTGGTCTGCAGTCAAAACACAACAACTCCACCCCAGACTCCCCTGCCCTCTGCTATCAAATTGTGACGCCAAGTCCTCTCTAGCAGGGAGCTGGCAGGGAAACCTCTCCTGCTATCCAGTTGCTGGAGTGAGTGAGATTAAACTTCAGAACTAAGCAGGGCAGAGACAAATCAAATATTTGCATTTGCTCAAATTGGTTCTAAAGCATCGCCTTCAAGGTCTTAGAAAATACGTGGAAGGGAGACTAGACAAAACCTGTCAGAAAAACAGGTTACGCAATGCTTTTAGGAAAATATCTTGAGAAAGATTTCATTCTCATTACAATATTAAATCAAGTCCAGTTTAGTTGGTTTTCAAGGTATTGACATTATGTCAGCATGTTGTTGCCTTTTTTTTTTTTTTTTTTTTTAAATGGCCAATAATGCGCTTTGGTTTTGAAAAAGAAGGTTTAAAACCACACCCTTGTTTTAGGAAGGTAGCGAGATCAGGGGAGTATCTAGTCAAGATACTGTAACAACTAGTTTGTCTAAAGTGAGGTGGTGTTTTGAGACTGAGGGCTCCATCAGCTTCCCAACCTGTTTGCCCTCCAAGGCTGCCTAACCCTGAATGTCAGATTATCTCTCCTTAGTCTGAAAAAAACCTGCAAGGTGCTCACCTGCAGATTCTAAACTGCTCAAACCATAGGTGTCCTGGTCATTGCAGGGCAGTAGGGATAGATGAGTTTTAAGGATCCCTTCCAACTCAAATGATTCTATGATTCATTGCACACCAGGTGCCCTAGCACTTTAGTAGGGAAGGCATTATGAATAGCTCGAGTTAAAACTAAGTTTTGAAGGAATATACACAGCTAAACTTGCTGCAGGTACATGGCAGAGGAACAGGGAGGCTGGAAGCAGATGATCCAACTCTCCAATCCAAACCATTCCACGATTATATGAACACTGTCACCAAGTTCCTCAGCATCAGCAATCTGGATCTGCACAGGCAGAAGAGTGCTAGTGGTGGCAATGGGGATGAGGAGACGGTTGGACTAGATGATGTTATAGGTCGTTTCCAACCTTGTGATTCTATAATTCTAAGAGGCTTAATGAGTCAGGACTGACCCTTGAACATGCTCAAGCCACAGAAACAAAACACTACGTGTCTTCAGATGGGGCTATGTTTTTTTCTGCTACCCACACAGGAAAACGTGGGTTGCTTCAGTGGGAAGAACAGATTGTCTATTCCCTGTCCCTTACAAACAGAAAAAAACTGGAGGAAACCCCTAAATTAGGCACATGTGATTTCACTCAAAATTGCTTCCTGTTTAAAAATATACAAACTTTCCAAAAAAAAGGCCAAATAAGCTTTTTCAGAATCAAAGTTAAAAGGCAGCCAACTATAATGGAGGAGTTAAAAAACAACCACAACTGTAACTCTAGGAAAATGTCAGGTAGCCTGTGTGAAGGTTTGGGGCAGCAGAGATGCCTTTTGGTATGCCAAACAGTGACAGTAAATGAAGAAAATAAGTCAAGAATCCTGCTCACCCAAACTGTTTCAGGATTCCAGGAAGCATTTCAGCCAGCTGATCCATGGAAGGATATATGTACCTATAACAAATACATGTCTGTGAGTTCCTATGCCACATTCAGTAGAGTAGGCTGCTGTATTTAGGGAAAAGGTGGTCACTGCAGATTAAATAACAAATGTGTCCATTGCCAGGTCACGGTCAGCATGCACTGAATTTAAATCAGGAGCAAGTACAATTAAGTGATTTCACAGGAGTATGAGCATACTCAATATGGTACTTTATGTGAGTTACAGGAAAGATGTCTGCTCCAGCTGAGAGCAAAACAGAGCACAGCAAATCTCTTCCAAAAAGCAAGTCAATACTTAAAACCTATAAAATATTTGAACTTCAGAGGTGAGACTCCAACCACATTCACCACATGTGTACTTCTGGTTTACCACAAAAAGGTTCTCCCATGTCACAGAATCAGACTACTGCAGTGTGAGATCTTCGGCAAATATTCACCTGCGTGTTTTCAAGGATGTACATTTCTACAGCAATAAAATGAAAAAAACCAACAACTTTCTATCGATACTGATGGAGAAATTAAAGCCAAAAGAAAGGCTGTGAAGCTGCTGAAAGCGTTTGACAGCTCTATATTAATGCTTTTGTTCTGATTCTGAGTGACAGTGGAATTCTGAAAGGAGAAATTTTTTAACAAAATCTCTATTGAGCAGCAAATGGAAAAAAAAGTCCACCATAAGAAGCTGGAGAACATAGTTCAGCTTCTTCTGCTGCCATCACTAGCAGAGAGTATGACAGTTGTGCAGTTGACAACTCAGACATGTTAATGCCTGTTTAGGACATGAAGGTTAAGACACTTAAAAGCTTTTGATTCAAATAAACACAAACTGAAGTGACTGAAATAGCTCTGTCACCTGCTTGAGGAGACAACTGGGCCACTGCATTTAACTCAGAACATGGCCCATGATGACCTCCTCAGCCAGACCAGCTTAAAATTTAAGAAGGTATGGCTCATGCAATAAGGTATGTACAAGCTCCTTAATACCCAATTCTTACAGAACAACTGTCTCTTGACTTGTCTCCCACCTCACAATGTTGGCTACCCTCTTTCTCAACCAAGCTGACTCCCCACCTAGGGGCATCTTCAAGCAAACCCATCTCATTTCACTAAATGAGTCAAGCATTTTGGCAAAGGCAGTACTCAAAACTCACAAGTTTCCAAGAGTTACAACATCATATATGTTACATGGTCAAGAGCATGCAGTAATTTATGATATCCCATGGCTTACATCACTTTGTTACTGTACAACTAGTTTAAATTTCCAAGAAGCTTACTATATCTATTTACCAACAACTACCGTGCAGACATTTCCTAGAAGCTATAGACTTAGGAAAGAGGTGATACAGTGGTGAATGACTGTGTTGTTTATAGAAACAACTTTGTTTTGTATTTGCATGCCGGATGTCACTACAAAACAAGGTAGCCAGTACTTAAACTGGCAGATGTAAGCATGTGTCGAGAAACTGTTTTACAACAGGGTGGTTATTGGCAATAAAACACAAAGTTACAGACCTGAAGTTTACTGTGAACCGGCAAAACTCAACAGAGCTCTGGAAACTTAAATAGAAATTATCAGCATTCAAAGGAATGCTACTTTTCTTTCTGCAATTGCTCTTCAGTTGAATTGCAGATAAAGGCTCTTTTTCCTGACAAAAGATAACTCTAAAAGCAGAGGCTGTTTTCCTTACAACTCACCCAGCTTGGAAAGATGGTGCCCCATCCTGCTGACCAGGTGCATCCACGTGGCAAACTGCAAAGTGCTGGGTGATTTCCTGCATATCCTCAAAGTTGAAGAGAGGATTGAAGCAAGTTTTGTCTTGAAAATGAAAAAACGAAATAATTTTGCTGAGATTAAATGGTCTATTCATGAGTAAATTTGCATCTCTAATAAAATCACTTGTTTATTAATGTTACCTCTGCTGAAACCTGGACTGCAGATTAATGAAAAGTTCCCTCCATCAGCTCAGAAAAAGTGACAATTCTTTATTTTTAAGGAAGAATAAGGAAGTCCTGCTGCAAAGCAACCTGTGCTTTGTACAAAATTGTATCAACACCCTGAAGCAAAAAAATGAAAAGCTCTCTCCTCATGGCCAGCTAGCATTTATCCACATTATTCTGGTCCTTCCCAGAAATACTGGCTTGGTACACCAAAAATCAAGAAAATGTTCCTTATGCAGAAGTAAAATAGTCATAAACTGTCATCAGGAAAATTCATACTGAGTTTTGGCTTAGGTAAAATTATCCATTTACTTGTCCAGCCATTTTTCTTTGGATTATGTCAAAACAGATGGGGCAAAAGGTATCCAGCTCTGAGATCGTGACTTGTGTTTCTGCCCAAGTATCGCAAGATGAACATTACGTTTGCGTCTCTCACAGCAGGGAATTCAAGACAAAAGTGTCCTTTTGGGATACTGAATGCTGCAGGCCCCCAGCTCTGAGATGATTTGATTTGTGATGTTGAACAAACATTGGTGTGGGGAGAAGGTTAGCATGTTCTCCTCTTGGAGTGGAAAGAAGGAATTCTGTAGCACCGCCTCTGATACGCGCAGAAAATAACTCAACATCTGTGCGTGTTTCTGAATGTCCTCTTACTACACAACATGCAAAAGAAATCACTAGAGAATATACAATATTTTCAGCTAAAATCCAGCTTTAGGAGAATATGCAAGATAGGCATAAAGCTTTCTCCCTTCTCCTTTAAAAGGAAAGCTTATTCATCATAATTTTTTTATCTCCAGAAAGAAAGTTTTATTCAAAGATGAGACCTAGATTAAGCTCTGCCCTGATCCACTAACAACCCAAAGTAAAATAAGGCAGTGCTACTAAAAACATGCAAAAAAGAGATTTTTTTTTTCTTCTGAGTAATATCACTGCTGCCACTCCCCCAAAAGCCAAACATTAAAGATTCGCAGCTGTTTTTAGTTTTAAAACTGATAGCTTTCTTACAAACAGCAAATGGTGTGAATCTGGGTACTAGTGAGAAAAACAGACCAACAGATCGGGACATCTAGCTCATTATATTCCTGAATATGACAGATACGACAGAAGGCACTTGTCAAAGTCACTTTCTTAATACAACACCAGCTTTCATTTAATCATTCAGATTTGGCTCACTATTCATACAAACCCACAGAAGTGTAAGACTGGTTTCAGACAGGAACCTACAAGCCAAAGCAACAGCAGCGTTCTTGTCAATCCTGCTTTCAACACAGCCTCAGCCTTCCTCTACAGATGTTTTTACAGCATTTACACACAGTCATTACAAGCTACCAGGACATCCTTTCGCCCATTTAAGTGAAACATTCCAATTACTTTCTTTGGGAGCATGTAAATCTGAGAGTTAAACTTGCCATAAGAGAAGAATTAGGCTAGGCACAAAGGCAAGTACCTTCTATGAGTATGTAGTAGACACAAGTGCATGAGGACCTGGGAAATGTTTCCTAACCATCAGGGATCCCACACTTTTGACTACAGCTATAACGTTAACCAACCAGGCCATCACTATGCAATAAAATATAAAGCCTACTTACGATTCAACCCAATGTCGTGGTATGTGAGGATAGCAGGTCTATTCCCTCTTGGTGTCCCACACATGGTGACATGGACTAAGCCATGCATGGTCTCCACATCTTGCTCCTGACAAAGAACAAGGTGAAACTGTCAGATTGTAGAAGGGCTCTACTTAACACTCTAGTGTTGGCAGCCATGACCACGAACACAGCTCCTGCCCTATCTCAGGGCTGTCCACAGCCTCTCTGGCCCCAGGACCTCTGCAACTCCCATGCTAACACACTCCAAGCCTCCCCATGGTGCAGGCTAATGTTTTTCACACAGCTGTCATCTATTGCTGTTGACAGCCAATGACAGAAGCACTCAAGCTGCTAGCTCTAACTAGATGCTGAGGAAATGGTTTTTGACCACAACAGTCAGTGTTAAAAAAAACAACAAAAAAGCTTTAAAAAAGAAAATGATTAGGAGAGACAAAACTAAAAAAAAAAAAGAAAGGAAGGAGAAAACAAACAACAACAAAAAAAAAAAAAAAAAAAAGAGGGGATAAGATAAAAAAAAAAGAAGTGGGAAATAAAGATGAAGGTGAAAAAAAAATTTAAAAATTTAAAAAGGTAGTTTGGGGCAAAGATGCCTAAAATAACCTAAGATGCCTAATGGCTCACTAGCGTGGCCAGCAGCATTTGCAATGGTGCCAGTTTCCAAAACACTTCTGTTTTCTAGGAAAATGATCGTAACTGAGCAAATAACTAATATTCCCCTAAAAAGCACTCCATTAAATAGCTTGTGTTCACCATAAAGACTAATCACACTGCAGGACCTTGTGATTAGAGCAGCTTTCCGCAGTAAATATGGCAGGCAGCTACATGTTAGCTTTATGGATTGCTATTGCTTAAACCTAAGCACAAACTCAACTGAAGTTTGCAAGAAAGTAATATGGCTACAACAATGCTGTGGTGCTTATCACAGAAACAACCTTAAACAGCCCATTGCTATTATCTGACACAACTGGATTTTGTACTATTTAATGAGCTTAAAATGCCTTTAATATCAAATCAGAGACCCCTTCATTACCATCCCATTTGCTAGATGTCTGTGTTGGATAAATGAAACTTAGTTTGCACCAATGTCCTCAACGTATGGAACAGTTCTTGTTTCTTTCACACTTGTACTTAAGATAGACATAAGCAATTTGTTAGCCTGACAATGTATGTAAGGGGGAATTACAGAACAACGGTTATTTTCTATCTACAGTTACTCTCATGGAATCAAAGCAGTATGCAGTTGGTGACCAGCTTTAATATTTCATAAGAATATTTTCTGCATAGGATACAGACATCCATGTCATTCAGTACAGCATACTGCTCCTGCCTGGCTTTATTTACTCTTTGCAACAATGCCCAGGTGCAAAATCCAAATTAAATTAAATTAAACATACTACAAATTATGCTGTAGAAATTAGGAGCGAACAGCTCCAGCAGAAACCTTTTCAGAGCAAAATCCAGAAGCTTCTGAGATCTGATGAATTAATTCAATCTAAATTATGGCTCAGTAATTTCATATGTCAATGCGTTTTGTTGAACATAAGGATGCTAAGCAGCACTGTTCCATATTTCACCTATTTTCCTTGCAATTTACATCAGCTATGATCACACCAACAAATCAAGACCACCCCATGCACCCAAATACCAGGAGAGTCTCTCTGCTCTACACTACACTGAAACACCACTTTTCAGCTTTTCTGCATACTCACTGCATTATTTAGCAGGTATGCTGTGTCTTCTACATCCAGTACCATCTTTAGGCAAAACAGGGTGATAAATCCACCAAGCAGAGAGAGGACAGGAGCTGGTTCCTACTTTCCCCAAGTAGGAAACTGGGTTATATGGAGAGGCTGCTTTTCTGCATAGGCTTATGACACCCACAGTGCCCAACCAGAAAACCCAGAACAGACTAACTCAGGAGGACGTCATTCTTAAATAGGATTTGAGTCAGGTTTGACCAGGAGAAGTGCTTATTCTGTAGAGCTCAGACATCAAAGATGAACTCTGTCACACAATGTACAAATGCCAACTTTCAAACCTGGGAACTAGTGATTAGCATAGTATTTTCTGGTGACGTTTCAATTAGACTTTGGTAAATACAGATTAATTTGAGGTGCTGAACCACCCCAAAACTATTTTACATAAAATTAGGAGCAAGTTCTTTTCTATAAGGTGGGAGTAAAGCTTCCACGAGGAACAAAAATAAATTAAAAACTTCATGTAAATGAGAATGATTCTGCACAGCAACGCAACAACGTCTGACTTTAAGTGCTAAAAGTCTTGTATTTTCCAAAGTTCACAAGCAACACTTAGTCTAAAATATTTCAATATCACTCACCTGAAAATTAAGTTTCACTTTTGGCAAAAGTAGAGTGTTGTAGGTACATTCATTATTTTATTATACAGAGATTTGCAATACTAATAAATAGAATTTAACAACAGTAGTAATTAATATTGTCCACATTCTGCCTTCCTTCTGCATTTAGATTATTCTCAGTAGAGAGCATAAGAACTGATAGGTTGGGAATTTTAGCACCAGTAATGAGTGACACACCTTCACGTGAAAGATAATCTCCTTTTCAGTTAGAGAACAACAGCATTCTCTATCATCGGGTTTTATTGCTAGACTTTCTCAACAATAGCACTTAAGGGCCCAGAACACTTCCTTAGGAGAGACCACCTTTCAAGCCTTAGGTTCTTTATCCTTTGTGCAGGACAGAAAAAATCTCTTTGTGACAAAGCCAGACACCTGAACCTGCCCACCCCACTGACCTCCACTGCTAATTATTTTTAACTGGAATCCTGAGTCTAGTTCAAACTCAGTGTCAACTAAAAATAGTCCAGAGGTGATGGGAGACCACACATCTAATTACTGGCAAAAGTCACCATCAGTTTAACGATTAGTTTAATTCCTTGTTATCTTCACAATAAGGCTCTTGCGATGCAATAGTAATAATGTTGCACTGTTCTCCATTAGTGTTAATTCTTAATGAAAAATGCCCCAAATTTTCTCCTAAAAAACAATTTAAACTTGTTTCTTTAGTGATGCCAAGCCAAAAACTCAACATCCCTACTGATCCTATTAAAGATCAAGAGATTTGTCTACGTGATGTCGGCATGGATGTTTTCAAAAAGCAGAGCACTGAAAACAGATGGCAGCACACCCCAATCAACGTCAACATTGTAGTAAGAGGCTCCTCAACCAAGTGATTTGTATTAAAACACTATCTTAGAAAAACATCCAAGGTACGCTAATCCGATAGAAGGATAAAGACAAGCATGCCATCTGTTCACATCTCACTTTAACAGAGGTGCAGTCTTTCTTTAGTGCTCTAAAATACACACAAAAATACTTACGATACATGCAATTTAAGACAGACTATCTGTGTTTAAAGGGAGTTGTTCTCTTCTATGGCATATTTTCTTTTTCTTTGGGTCAAATTGACATTTTTTGAGATGCTGTTTGGGTCTATAAGAGGGAGGCAACACAGTAACTCACGAGAGTCTTTTATTCCTTCCTCTCTCCATCCCGGCAGATAAACACATAGAATGAACATGTTTATAAACAGGTTTTTGTTTTGTTTTTGTTTTTCTGAATATGTAATCAAACCATCTTTGCTGTCTAAAAGGGAAAAACAGACATTGCCCACTTTGCAAAAAACAATGCATTTTGTATTTTAAGTAAAATATTATCTTCCATCAAGATTATTTTAATAATTCCCATTATTCCCTTTATTTGAAAGGTCCCAATAGGAAATGCACTCCATCAGTCACAATGCTGATTTGTCTCCCACTGCATCCATGGTGACTCATTCCCTCTTCCAGGCAACAGAAAGGGATTCATGCATGCTTGTAAATTTTCATGCCATGAGCCCTGAATTGCACAGGACAAGCTCTTCTCTGCTGCCTACAGCTTCTGCACAGCTCAGAAAGCTTTCCTTCGTTATTGAAAAAGCAGTGTTCTGGCAGACTGCTCATTTCTGAAGTATAGAGCCACAGGAATGTATACAGCAGCAGGGAGACAGTTTTCCCCGGACTCCAATGTTAACAGGTAAAAGAATAGGCCAATGCACTCAACTGCAAATATAATAAAAGCACATTGGGCATTCAGCCAACACAAAGCAGCACAGGGCACACTGCCCTCCACCAACTTATCTTGAGCTGTGCTAAAACAGGTTTGGCGAGGAATAGTCACGTTCTTGGGAGGCATAAATTAACTTCTATCTTCAGGTATGCACCACGGACAGAAATGTAGACAGTACAGAGTGGTGGGAGTTCAGAGTTGTCAATTCTTCCGTTCAACTCAGGTCTTGGCCAACTCCCAGTAACTCACAGAATCATTTAATCATTGGATATACCAAGTGGGAACAAACCCAAAAGGATCATCAAATCCAGCTCCATTTATGGCTTTTCTCCAGAGAATAACCACACACAAATCTTGCAATTTGGAGGATGATATTCTGCTATATAGTGGGTCACTTCAAAAATGGAAAGTTTGTCAAAAATAGCCTGTGAAGTAAGAGCCTGCTTCTTTCCAAATCTGAGCAGCTAGATGAAATTTCTTCTTGGAACAAATACACTCACAGGCAGCCACTACTTTTCACTGATGACAGAAATGAAGTTATTAACTGAACACTGCATAACTTGTCTGCAAAAAAGGACAGTGATATAGAGAACTGTCACATCCCTATACAGACATATGGGCACTAAACGAGTGTCCTGCTGAGTCCTGGGATCCTTTCTTAGCTAGATGCCTCCTCCCAAACATGCTCAAGGGACAGATCACTCACTAAGGGCATATGTGAGCTTCATTGTCAGTTCTGAGTGTCCTGGATCCTCCAGAACCTCTTGAATAAATTAAGTCACTGAGGTTCTCAAAACAGCTTCAAACCATCTTTCTTCATAGATCAACCACAAGGGAACTTGAAGATGCATAGTAGGGTTCTTGTGGTTTTAAGCACCAAAGCAAAGTCTCCTTTCCAACAGCAGTTCTTAAAACAAGGGATTGAGGTTGTTTTCCCACATTTTGCTTCCTTGAACTAGAACAATCAAAGATTAAAGTCTAAGAAAGGAGCATCATTAGAAAAAGAAAGAGATGGCAGAACAGGGCTAAATAGCAAGAACCACTGGTCTGGATTAGTGACAGTTAATCCAAAACATGGGAAAAAAACCAACAAAATGGCTTAGAGAATTTGATCTTGCAAGTTAAAAACCTATATATACACACTGTTTACAAGCCAAGTAAATTTATTCCAAGAATAGAAATAAAATATGGGTCACTTCTGGATTTTTAATCAAAATGGTGCAGTATTCCTATTCACAGACTTAATCTGGGATTCATATTTATTTAGAACAAGTGGTCAATCTGGGCCCGAACAACAAGCTTCTCCCATGCTGTGCACAGGCCTGCAGAAAGTCTGATGATGAGAAGTTTAACTTATGGCTATCAAGACTTCAGGCAGTGGATTTCAACGTTAGAAAGAATGAAGGGGAAAATGTCAGACTAATATGAACTACATTCTTGCTAAAAAATTAGGAGCTGCTGAAAGAGGGCAAGTTGTTTGCAATAACTGCCTGCCTTGGTTTCCAGGGAGGTGACAGCAGTGTTTCTGCTCGATTTCTAACCAATCTGTAAAGCACTTAATAAAATATAAAGAAGTGAAAATAAAGTGCAAGATGTTGCAGAATTCAACAGGATTATTTTTTCAAAAACCTCTGCTTGCACATATAAGAGACTAACTCAATAGCTTCTCTTATTCCTGTATGATCTACCTCCCATTAAACATCCTTGATATATACAAGACACCTGGCAAGCCTCAGTCTCTGACTCATACTCCTTGTCCTAAGCAATGGGAATGCACTGCTCACTCTTTTTGTTGAGGCAGGTGCACACTCACTTTTCTCTCTCCCAATCCAACCCAACCTGACTCCAGCATTAATTTCCTTAGTTGTAGCTTAAGAGCCATCAAGAACAAGACTCAGCACATGGAGATAAAATAATTTAAAAGAGGAGAAAACAGAATCATAAAGTCACCTCTCAAACACACATCACATGAGAAAAATGGAAAGGCACCATTGGACCTGGCAGTATACTTCATGCACAATTGTGTGCAGGGTGTAAATAAATGTATGGAAAGTGCCATCACACTTTGTACAGCCAAAATTGATTGTTACTGCCTTACTCTGATTCCCAGGCTTCAGAAATATTTTGGAAACTTCTAATGGCATAATGGGTTACACCAAGAGGGACATTTCCTCATAGGAAATGCACACACACTGCTAATGAAAGGAAATTAATTGGGGAAACTGCATGCTCATGTGGGAGGAGTGCATTTTGATTTTGCTACTACAGCTGAAGAATCTTTCTTTTAGCAAAAAACAGAGCTTCTTGCAACTCATTTCTTTAGGATGATTTTTTCTCAGCTTTAGGTTGAGAAAGACCTCCTGCAGTCCCTTTCACAAGATAGTGTAAGAGCCCCATTCAGGCTCCTTCTCACAAGTACAGCATTTTTTATGAGCAGCCAGTCATTTCTGATCCAATTTCTGTTTTCCCTTTTATTAAAGAAAAAAAAAAAAAAACAACAACAGAAGTATAGCTTCACTGACCTGAACATCGAAGTCTGGAAGGAGGCGAGTGATAGCCTGTGAAGAGATGACAGGATACTAAGTCAGGTAACATTTGCAGTTAAAACTTCTGCACTTGTATGTGCACTGAGACACGTGTTCTGACCCACTGGTTCTCCAGTGGAGAGCTCTTTCCCTTCATTTCTTGAATATTGCTGAATGTCTAAATGTCCACTCCTACATCTAGCCATTGCTATTACTGACAAGCTCCTCTGCATCCCCTGCATTAAGATCAGAAAAAGAGTAAGGTGACATCCTCCTCATCTCCATAACCTCACACATCTTTAAGACGTTGCTAGCTATTAGAAAACTTGGAAGGAGTCAGTTACATTGAGGGAGATGCACACAGTAGGAAGAGCAGTCAAGCTGGCACTTGTTACACTGCAGTGTGACCAGGAAGTCAAAGCTTGAGGGAGAAGTACAGAAGTAAAATGCAAAGTTCAGAAGCCTGACAAGGAGATAATGCAGTCCTAAAATCTCATGTAAATGAAGGATGGAAGATATCAGAAGCAATACAACTCTGCCTTGCGTAATACCATCTAGAGGATGGACTTCTAAACTTTGCAGTTCAAACCACAATTACGATGTAACACTAAAGCTGTGATCTTTAGGTAATTGAGGACTGTGATGCACATGCAAACAGGTATGTGAAGAGCTGATGAATTTATGGAAGTCAATTTACAGCCTGAGTCCAAGTTCACTCTTTACAGACTATGTTTTTAACCTTAGACAATCTTTTGATCTGCACTATTGGACTCATGACCTTTTAACATAGTAATTTCAAACATTCATGTTTCCAAGTGGTCTACAGATTGAAGGTGTATGTAGGTATAGCAACCATCTAGACAGTGTACAAAACAGGGCTCCATCACCACTCAGGAATAAAGAATTGGCTATAGAAAGAAGCCTAGTACACAGTAAGTAAGTAAGATTACACTTAAGAGAGCATCACTCACTCAATGCCAATCTCCACCACTAACCCTAGCATATGCTGAGTGTCATCTGAGGCAATCATTTTTCCACTTTCTCTAAACACTATAAAAAACTTCCTCCATTTATGATAAGGATAGCCCAACAGATGATCAAACCAGATTAACTCCGCTACTTTCCCCACATTGGCAAAAATTAAGGCAACTGTGAATAAAAGCACACAGGGCTCCTCGTCAAGATAGCAATTTTTCATCTACATGCTGCAGAAACGCAGGAAATTCTTCAGTATAAGACATTTCTGAACTCTGAAGCAAAAACATTTCAGTAACCAGAGAACTTCTGCTTCATTTTGCTGCTACTGAACAACATTGGCATTAGAAAGGGATCTTAGTTCCTGAAAGCCTTGCTTTCATGCAATGTCCTTGGCACAGGAACTGTGTTTAAAGTTTCTCTAGACATTTCATTACATTCATAAGTGGAAATAATTTCCCGAAGTGTTTACTCAAAAAGGGGTAGAGAATAAAAAATGAAAGTAGCAAATAAAACAATGAGGAATCTCAGTGTAGAAAAATAGACGAAAATGTCACCACGTGTCAAGAATGACGATCACTGGGGAAAGTGAAAGAAAAATCTTAGCCTTGATTCAAGAAAAAAAGCAGCAAGTTTGTTTGAATATTCCAATGAATTATTTGCAATGAACATGCACAGGGTAGGAGCGCCATTGATCAGAGTCAAACAGACACTGACCCTAGATGCTGTGGAAAGAGATTTGGAGAAAAATAGTGCAAAAACAAATGCAAAGAAGCACAACAGAGTTAAGCAAACAAAACAAAAGGCTGAAAATGGTTTTATGCTGCAGTCATAGGGCAACCTGAGCAGACATGATGGGGCAGACATGCTTTCACACCCAGAACTACCAAGAGCATCGTAAAGGCTCTCTCTGCATATCTGCTCCTCCATGAAAGGCATAGGATAGAGCAAAGTTTGAAACTCTGCACTGAGAAGTCTATAGGAATAGGTAGATCTACTTGAGTTTGTCCAATTGGAACTGTTCAAAATAAACCCAGAACTGTAACTATATATATATTTTTTCCTGAATATGTTCACAATAGATCAGAATTAAAGAAGCACACAACCAGAGCAATAATTAAAACTCAATTTTGCTTTATTAACAAAAACCACTATTATTGCACCACCAGTTTCTCATCTGTCTTTCCATACAGCTTGTTAGAACTAAGAATAAATGCACAGTTGCAACAGGAATCCTGAAAGAAGACACAAAAGCTTTAAAAATGTTTAAGATAATTACCTCCTCCTTCTCCACCAGAGGTTTCACCTCTGCAAGGTGAGCATCCTGGAACTCTGTTGACATGGTCAGTAGCTGGTATCTGTGAAGATGAAGAAATATTTGTTTTCAGCTTGCATAAAAGATTAAATACAGAAGCAAATAAAGACCCTCCCCCTCCACCACCTCCAGTGATCTGCTGTCTCAGGTTATAGTTTAACACAGCTTTGCAAGAGGGTTATGAATCTCCTGTAAAACATCCCCTGGTTTGTTTATGTACACACGCCTGTACAACATGAGATTAAAGAAATGTTAAGGCTGTGAGATCAAAACAAAAGTTTGGCAACTTCAGAGCAGAGGATGCTGAAGGAAGTAAGGCAAGGACAGCACAACTGGAGTTGGACTCGATGATCTTTATGGGTCCCTCACAACTTGGGATATTCAACGATTCTTGCAGTATTCGATCACATGAAAACTCTCATTTCACATGTGAAAGGAGGCATAACCTAAGCTATACAAAGATCTTCTCTCGAAGTTAGATTAAATACTCTCTTTGTTTAGATACAGGCTCCCTCTCCAGTATCTCTGCTTTAAGTAAACCAAATTAGATGCTCATAAGCACCATTCTACTCTCTTACCAAGAGTAAAATTGGAACAGGAACCTTCTTTGATTTGAACAACCCAAGCAGTACCGTGTACCAAGTAAAAACAACATGCCTTTAATTGCACACCAATGCAGCTTATGCAATAAAAGGTTTCAAAACTATCACAGTAGGGAAGAAGATTGCTGCATCCTGCTCTAGTAAAGGCACAGCATCACTCTGCCCAGCTTAATTGGGCACATGGATTGGAAACAACCACTGGAGCCCCAGATCACATGAGTGCTGAGACAAATGGTGCAGCAGATCCTTCTGCAGGTGCAACACACTGTCTGCATACTGACCAAGCTGTACTTCAGTTTGGTGAATGTATCAGTCCAAACTGGGAGCTAGAAAACAGAATATTTCATTCCTTCCATGGAGATAAAGTGCCAGGGACTGCTCCCTCTTAAGCCTGATGAATGACCATAGCAGTGTTTGCCTATGAAATGGCAAACACTTGATTAATTAAGATAAAGTCAAATAAATGCTGGCATCTATGTATGTGTAAATGACTTCAGATTTTAGGAAACCTTCTTAGAAGCTACTATGCAACTGGATGGAAATTTTGGCAGAGTGGATTTTAAGTTTAGAGAAGTGTTTAATGGGTATATAACTTCACAACTCGAATCATGGGAGCAAAAGCAGAACTGTTATACAGAATCATAGAACCATTTATGTTGGCAGGGACTTATAAGATCACTCAGACTAACTATATGTAACTATATATATGTAACTATATAGTATATATATAGTTATATATATACATATATTTCAGTCTAAATCTCCTGTTCTCATTTCCCATTCCCAGTAATTTGTAATTCAAATTTACAAGACACCAAAGCTACTTAAGCAGTCAGAATAGTCAAAACAGAGTTAATTCCCCAGCAGTCACTCTAACTCACCCTCTTTCTCCAGTTTTGTTCTTAATGATTAAGATCTTCACAGACAAGCAAAATCAAATTTGCCAAGCAACTGAAAGTGATGTTTTAGAAACAATTACATTTTTTTTGAAATTACAGCCACCTGTGCAATGTGTCATTCTACACAGTTAGCAACTCGTTGTGGCAGAAAAGGAAAATAAAAGCTGAAAATATTTACATGCAATCTGGAAGGCTAGAAGTACAAGGGATTTTCCATGTTTTCCCTATATGGGAGGAAAGTAAGAAGCCAGGCTCCCTGCAGTTTTCCAGTAAGTGGCTCAAGGAACAAAGCCACAGCTAGCACTCATCGAAGAAAGTTGTTTACCCAAGGCAGCTTTGGGTTTTCAGGGAGTCAGAGCATTGACTACAAATGACCAAAAATCTCTGCCAAAAAGAACAACATGGATGTCTTTTATAGCCTTAAAAAACAATCCTGTTTTCATAATAGCTCAAAGTTGTTGCTCTATGTTTCCGAAAGAACCAACATTAGGAAGTGCTGACCAGCAGATTACACTACTGCCATCAAGTCTGCTGAACAAAAGCCCAATGTGCACCACATTCTCACTTTTGGAATGATACCAGGCCTTCAAGCCACATTATGTTTTCAAATAGACATTTACAATCTCTGGGTTCCCCCTATCTGCACCAGGGATACCTGAAACATTCCAACTAAGGAACAGCCATGTGATAAGCTGGCACAACAGCACATTATTTCTTCCTGAGAGCTGGCAAACAAAGCCCTGCTATCTGACACCACTGTAAAAAGCTTCTAATTTTCCAAAGAGAAAGATGCTGGATTGCATAGAGGTTTTAAAAATCTCTAAAAAGGTGCTTTGTGCTCCACTCTTATGTGACAGGATAGCTTGAAGCTACTGTAACTGCATAACTTTCCTAAATAACCAGACAAGCATTCTTTTATATCAATTGCAAAAGCACTTGCCTCACAGAAGTATTCATAATACAAAGTTCATTTATGTCTGCATGCAATAGAGTAAAGTTGCCAACTCAGAGAAAAACAAGTTTTTCACTCCATTTGGCCGACTCAGCCTGCACAAGGTCCCAAGTTCTTCCCTCTTGGACAAGCCACATCTACCCAGCAGACTCCCACTATATCCAGCTATCAGCTGAATCCACTGCAGATACACCTTACAGTTTTAACTTGTAAAGCAATCATTTTTTTGAGTAAGAGGAAATAAAAGTTTTCAGCTGGCAAAGCATCCTGGCTTTTCAGAACAGGGATCCCAAAAAAGGAGTTAAGAAATCACACATCAGCTTATCCATCCTCAGACACCAGCAATGATGTAATCACACATACCAAACACTAGATAATCATAATATATGTGATTTAATTCATCCCAAGTACAGGAACCAAACAAGTTCCAATATACCTTGATGAAACAAAGGGAAGTGGCTTCTAACTAAAAGAGAGAATATTTAGAGTGGATATAAGGATTTTTTTTTTTTTTTACAATAAGGCTGGTGAGGCATTGGAGCAGGCTGCTCAGAGAGGTGATGGGTGTCTCACTCCTAGAGACACTGAAGACCAGGCTGGAGGGGGCTCTAAGCAGCCTGATCTAGCTGTAGATGTCCCTGATCACTGAAGGGAGTAGGATGATTTTTAAAGGTCCTTTCAAACTCGAAGGATTATGATCCAACCTTGCTTCAAAATTTATTCTGCTGAAGACACCCACAAGGATGTCCAGGTTCATGAGACAGGATGCCCTGCCAAACAGGACAGTCTCATGCCCATGAGGGCCTAGGGAAACCACTGCAAGCACTACAGGATTTACCTCTGCACTCAAACCCAACCTTTATTTATTTACAGGGTATCATGGAGAACAAAGAACAGGAAACAACTCCTTGCTAAATGCATCATAAAGAAGGCAATCTCCTCAAAACAGTTCGTTTAAACACTGGCGGTAGATATTATTCTCCTTTTGATATATAACACCGACATATAAGAGAGTAAGCTCGCCAGAACAGCCTGACAGCATTTCCACCACAAGCTGAGCAAGCAGGAGGGACAGCAGTCACTTTAAACGTGGGACTAAATACTTGTGAGGATTAAAAGGCAAAGAGAAAAGGGAAAAGTCCTTGGACACTGAAGATCATGACTCCTAAGCTCTGGTGTTGCTCTCTTTGGGCAGAGAGAACCATGCAAGACTTAACACCCGGGCCACATGTTGGAGCCAGTTCAAGGCTGGCCATATCACTCTGAAAGCCCCATGTGTCCTAAGAGCTCAAGCACCAAAGCAGGTAGGAATTTATTCTTGGAGGTGTTCAAGGCCAGGTTGGATGAAGTCCTGGGGAACCTGATGTAGTGTCTGATTTAGTGGTTAATAATCTTGCCCACAGGAGGGGGCTCAAACTAGATGATCTTTGAGGTTCCCTCCAATGCAAGCCATTCTATGAATGTGTGGCAGCTCAGGACTTCATGAACAAGCAAAGTTGGAGCAAGGAAGGAGAGACCTAACATCTCCAGAGCTCCAGACAAACAACTAAGCAGCTCAGGCGACTGACAATAAGGCAAAACAACTTATTGTGATGTTCAAACAGCATTTATAACCTTACATATAGCCAAATAGTGCTTTCCCAGTGATTAACAAGAAGCGCTGTGAGCTAGTCTGATTAACTTAAAAGAAAAAAATATATATATGGTCTCTATAAGCTGGAGAAAACTTGGGAAAAAAAAAACCACAAACATCTCTGTTACACAGAGACACGTGGACTTAATAACAACAGTGTATGGTTATGCTCCACAGCATCATAAATGTGGTTTGCATTTCAGATATTTCATAACAAACGTTACAAATGTAATCTTCCTCTTTATGATTAGCTTGGAAATTAATCATCTTGCAAGCATCCAAAAGTGTTCATGCATAAGCATCTGCCCACACTATGCCCTCTTTAAGCTATTCTTTGTTACAGGCTCTGGTGTCACAAGGTCCATTGTGTACTGTCTGAATTACTGATTTTCTCTGACATAGTTTCACACAATAAATCCAGAAAAGGTTTTAACAGAAGTGACTCTTTCAGAGCTCTTCCCCTTTTAAAAATACATGACTTGACAGTTACATAGCATCTGAGTAAACTGAACAGCAAGAGTCAAAAGTTGAAGACTCTCACCTACTTGGTACATACTTTTCCTTAGCCTTTGGTTCCTACATCAGCCTCTTGATTTTCAACTGTTAAAAACCAGGTAACCTTACATTGCTTAGAGTCTCCTATCAAAAATGTGTATTTTTAAATTAAATAATACCAGGAATCTGAAACAATTTTGTTGCCTCAGAGTGGCAGGATGCACTCAGGTTCATAGATATTCTGTGCATCACTGTTACCCTTCTTAAAGCACAGAGCATCAATGATCCTTATGTTTTTTGCTGCTTTATTTGGCTTTATTCCCTTCCAACCTCTTTTGAAGTTTGTCCACAATCATGCTTTGGTAGAAAATAAAGCTTAAGTCTGAAAAAAAATTGGTTCTTAATAGCATAATGGATCATAACAGCAGTTCTCAAAGCCAAAAATAATTAGGGCTTAAAGTT